TTATGTTCTTGTAAAATTGGTACCATTTTCTATGTATGGGTTTTTAATTTACGTAACTGAGTTTGTATTTATCAATTTTGTATGTTATGTTTTTCACTCAGAATTGTGTTTTAAGATCCAGCCACATGTAATAGTTCCTTCTCACTTCTGCCTAGCGTTCCATGATCTTCCCCTAATTCATTTTTTGTCAACAAATGAATATCATAGCTATCTTTCTGTTCCCATAGATGCGTGCCCTTGTTCCATTCCCTTATCTTTTCCGTGAGGATCATTTGGGGATGTACACCCAGGGCAAGATATGCCACTTAGTAGTGTGGCTTTTCTGTTTAGAAAGGCTTCATCCTGCAGTCTCACCAGCAGTACATAAAGGTTCCTGTATCTCCATGCACTCAACATGTAACATTATTTAACTTCCTAACTCTTGCTGGCATTTGATAGATACAATGTGATAACTCAATATTTTTAATTTGATTTTCTCATAATTACTAAAGAGTTTTCAAAACTCTTCAAATGATCATCACCCTAGTGGCTTTTCTCCTTTGTATCTTATTCCTTCATACCCTTCTCCCCTATTTGTTTGTTTTTCTGTCTCTCCAGTTTTGTAGGAGTTCTTTATAAAGACAAATATGAAAGTTTCAGTTCTTAATTTGATCACCTGGTGGTGGTGATGGTGGTGAGGTTATTGCGAATGGGGGAGATGTGGTGAGTCATGCTGGTGAACTAGCCGGGAAGGAGCCCTTTGGGAATGTGGGCTTCAGCAGGTTGAGGAGGAGGGACTCCGGTGTGGGAGAGGGTCGGGAGGCTGGGAATGGTTGGGTTCAGTCACCCACAGGAGGGTCATTGCTGCGTCAGCTATACGGAGATTCTCAACAGCCTGCGTTTCTGCATACTGGGAATTTTCGGGGCCTCAGGAAACTCCTACGCAGCATGTGGTTGGAATATCCTAGCATCTGGCTCTCCTTGGGTTTAAGAGATAGTGATGTCACTCCACGTTGCCATTTTAAGCAGTGAGTAAATCCCACCATCAGAAGAAGAAGGAGTCTGGCCAGGATTAGTATTCAGGAGTGTATCTTATCCTCTCAGTGCTGAGCACAGTGTCAGTTTATAAGAATTCCACAAGTTTTTGAGAAAGAAATTTAGCTTTTGGTATATTATTACTCTTCATATGACTATTTCTATGGTGCATTCACTTGAAGAATTTTTCAAAATATACATGTAGTGCTTATTTACAATGACATAAATGGTTGTAAGGGAAGCTCTGTAATATCCTGTGTGGCAATTATAGTATTGAAATTGTCTTTAAAATCTGATGCATAAATCCTAACATGTTCAGTTTTTTAAAAAAGAAATACAGAAAATATTTTTTCATATTATTTTCAGTAATTTATATCATGGTAACATGAAAATAAAGGTTGCTAAGACAGTTGCTTAAACAAAGCTTCACAGCAGTCTTACAGAAAAAATGCGATTAGAAAGCATTTTGAGAATTTGTGATTTTTCTGAATGTGGTAGTATCATCATCTCTGGCTCCCTCTTGTGGTCGGGGGTGGAATTGGCTTGACCTTGTTTTTAACAATTGTATATAATTTAATCTTTTTTCTCTGCAATATAGACCTATAGTTTTTTATTTTTTATTTTTTATTAAGGTATGATTGATATACACTCTTATGCTTTTATGAAGGTTTCACATGAAAAAACAATGTGCTTACTACATTTACCCATATTATCAAGTCCTCACCCATACCCCAATGCAGTCACTGTCCATCAGTGCAGCAAGTTGCCAGAGATCCACTATGTCCCTTCTCTGTGATACACTTAGACCTATAGTTTTTATAAATATTCTGACACTTGTGTTGTTATACACAACAACTTAGAGTAAAACTGATACTGAGAATTTTATTCACATTCCTTGCTTCAGTGTGGAAAATGGAGGTGTGGCTCCACCACAGTTGCTAGAAACTAAGTGATAATATCACTGTGCTCAGAGGAAATGTGTCTAGTTTGGAAAGCAAATTGATTGCACACCCAGAACTCACTTATACTTGTGCTAGCTATAATTGGGTTTGGGGACTAATTTGCTATTACTGATGACCTAACTTAAAATTTTATAATATACACTCAAACATGTATCATGTATTTGTACATACATATGACTTCATTTTAAACAATTTAGTATAAATGCACTTACTGTGGATTAACAACATACCATTATAATGTCTCTTTTTTGTTTTTTGTTTTTTGTTTTTTTAGTTATACTATGACAATAGGAAGATAGCGATCACACACAGTATTTAGTAAACATTTATGGGTAATTTTTCCCTTCCCTCTGCAGCACTGGTTTCAGAGAAGATTCTTAGCTTGATATCCACATGTAACAGAGTAGACAAGAAGTAGCTGTTTGCTGTTAAGTTACTTAGTCCAAAGAAGACTTGGCCTGCGTGAGCAGTAAATCATGGCTTTTTGAGGGGAGATGTGAGTTGCACAGAGAAGTGTCCTTTGTTTTCCAGAACATATTTCCGTAGATTATAGTTGTCTTTAATGTGGCATACTCCTTTAACTCAGCTCCTTAATTTTATGTTAAAACATAGTGTATTTTTGTGGTCTATAACTTTGGAACCTTTGAGTTGATTACTTTTGCTGGCCCAGTAGTGTGACTGGCCAGGATTTGAATAAGTGTCTAGGAGGTGCTTCTGGGAATGATTATTGTATTGCCAGGAATGCTAGTGTGTTGGCACTAAATTAACATTTCCAAACAAAGCTAGAAGTGTAGTCACTATAGCTGAGTTCTTTTCTCCCAAACCAGTTTATTATTCTTCTATGCACAGTGAGAAATTTTAAGTGTAAAAGGAAAGTGAGGCAGTTTTGTGCACGCTACTGTATATAATGCAGCAGGTTGCTCGCAGTGTTCATGTACCATCAGGACTGAGCTAAGGCCATTTGTGCAGAATTGTCCCTTGTATCATGGATATTGGTTTTTTGAACAAGTGGAATGTGTGTGAGGGACTTTGGTGCCCAGTGTTGTAAGAGGAGGAACTTCATTAAATATTTATTGAGCATTCCCTCAAATATTCAATTTTAAGGAAAACAGTATATACATAAATTTCTCTACTACAGTGTAGAGCATGAACACTGTATGAAACCCATCTGTAAAGCTGTATGAGCATTCAAGAGGAAGAGAGAGCTGATGGTGAGGGAATTAGCTGTATTCGAGCTGGATGCTAAAAGTAGTATAACTTGAATGTGTGAAAGTTGGAAGAAAAGAGCATTTATGTCATAGGAGAAGTGGCCTAGAGAGGGAATAAAAGGGCTCAGAAGGGCTAGTGAGAGAGCCTTTTGGAAAGCTGAATTGATCAGATCTGTCGTGGACATGAAACAGCAGGTTAAAGAGTAACATGAATGAATCATGAAGTGTCCACCCAGGTGTCTGTCCCAGCAGTGGGGAGGACACTCCCCCACCCTGAGCCTGGACCCCTCTGCTTCCTTTTGGGTCTGCTCTGCTACTCTGTGTTTTGTTAATGTGAGTTCCTCCGCAGACTCTTTTTGGATGGGAATACCACTCTTTATTTAACAATTCTTTCTTTTTGTAGGACCATATTTTCTCCTTAAGTAATAAGAATCTTTTGAAGATTTTGACTTGTTTTTTCTCATTTACCAGCATAATATTTTATTGTACATCATACTTCCTAAATAGCCTAAAAGTGACTTGAACATTTATAGCAGAACTCTACTTGCTTTTCCCTATTCAACAAAATTTTACCAGCTAACTTTCTGAAGTTCTATATAAGGAGCTAGATCATGATGGATTCTTGGAAATATAACTGAGGAGATAAAAAGTCCAGAAATGCCGCTGGATCCAAATAGAATTACCTGTCTGTTAACCTATACTTGACCACCTAAGATAGCGGGAAGGACAGGCCAGAAGCCTGCCTGCCTTCTGCCTTTTTCCCCTCCTTCCCACCTCCTTCCCACCTCCTCCCGTCCATATGTACATTATTTTTATTTAACCTCCTTCAAATTCTTATGGAGGTAATGAAAAAGCATTATGCATGACAGTCATATAATTTGTTAAAAATAACAAAGCCTGAATCTCTGACTGTGGGAAACAAGAATTTGCATTTTGAATAAGCTTAAAAATACTCGAATCTGGTTAAAGTGGTCCAACAATTGCCCTTCCAGAAATACTGAAATCACTTCTTTGGCCAATAAAATTTGAGTGTGGTTAACTAGTATTTATTTCATGTGGACTCGTAAATGGAAAAAGGCATACCTGGTGGGTAACATATTTATAGTTGGAGAAGGTTATATGCCCAAGCATGTCCTATTCCACTTAGGATTTTATTCCATTTGCACATCTATAGAAGCATGCTATAAGGTGAAAGGTAAAGTCACCCTCCACAACAGGCTAGCCGGGTGACAGCTACCCCTGTGCAACAGTGTCATTGTAGGGACACGCAAAGTTCAGCTAATAGTTATATTGAGTGTATATGATATACATTTTACTGATCCTTTTGATTTGACTTTTAACTGTCTTGTTTATTTCATGCTACCAGCATGTAAAAAGTCCATTTTCTTACATTTCAAGAATGAATTGTGAGAAATGTCAGGTGTCTTTTTGTGGCTGGGAAAGATTTCTTGAAAAGTGTCTGCGAGTGGTTCTCTAAATTGATTATAATTAGCTCATCTGAATCACCAAAAAGCATTAAGAGAGACATTTTCTCTTGGTCTTATCCCAGACTTATTAGACCAGCATCTCTTGTTGAGAAAGCACTCATAGTGATTTTCCTGTAGCCAGCCTGGTCCCCTCTACACTATTGTTCCAAGATCATCTTTGGGAGAAGAATACATACTCATATGAATTGTGTTTCACATCCCTCTTCATGAAGTTTTGGTACTTGCTCAATCTTTATTAAGTAATTTTATTGTATATCTGATGGGCATGGTGAAAATCAAGGTTTTCTTGATTCTCTCATTTGAATGTTGTTGTTACTGTTATCTCCTAGGATGGAAAGAAGAAGTTTGACAAGGAAAGTGAAAAATACTATTCTATTCTTGACAAACATTTAAATTTGTCTGCAAAAAAAAAGGAGTCTCATTTGCAAGAGGTAAGCTTTTCCTACTGAAATGTGGAAAGGGCACCAACATTAAGGCTTGTGAAGTACAAATTCCCAAAGGTAGAAGTAAGTATCTCAGAATCTGCTGCTCTTTATAGAATAACAATGATAAGAATAGCTCACTTAATGAGTACTTACTGTGGGAAGGCAGTGTGCTGGGTATTTGACATGCCTTATGACGTTTAATATTAATACGTCCAAGTGAAAGATTAGTACTTCCTTCAACAGTGAGAAGACTTTTTTCTTTTTCTGCTTGTTGGGTATACTCTAAATTGCAGGATCTACCAGACTCATATTATAGCTTTTTAAAGGGCTGTAGGCTCATCAGAGTCTTGGTCAGTATGAGAGATCACACTTAGATGTTGCTTAAACTGTCTATCAAGTGTTTTAAAAAACAACTTTATCCTAGTCTTAAAGTCCTCTGAAGATATGCTTCAGTTTTTCCAGACTGCCTAACTCAGTATACTTGGCTTATTAATGGTCCTCAGTCCCACAAGCTGTGGTAAAACAGAATATCCATCTTGTCCTGTATTTAGTTGGTGCCTGGAAAAACCTATTACATGATTAATAATGTTCTCCACTCGCCCCATTTCACACACACACATGAGCACATACTTCTGCCCCACGCGGCACACCCCCAGCAGAACAGAACATGGAGAGTGTGCCAATGTAGCTCCTCAGAGCACATAATGGAAATAAGGAAAGATGTGGCTTGCTTTTGTTTTTGTTCTCCTCTACCCTCCCAGGAATTAAACCTGTTGTACAAGATGCTGTCATACGTGTATTTAATTCTGTAGCGTGGCATCAAAAGTCATCTGCTGCTTTCCAGAGTAGCTTTGGTCCTTCTGTGGGCACCACATTTATTAAATCGTTTTCGGAAAGACCCCTTTGCACCTCCTCACCTGCACTGCATAGCTGACTCCGTATGCATTTTCTCATGGAAAATAAGTGGCTGCCCATTTCCAGAACCGAATTAGGGGTCAGCTTGTGTTGATAAAGTTTCAAGGCCATCAGTTAGATCATTGGAGTAAGCAGAATTAGACACAGACTTGTCAAGATTATAGGCTTTACAGTAGATGAAAAGAAGTAGTATTTCATAAGTGAGTGGATTATTTCTCCTAAGCATAAAAATAAGAAGAAATCATAAAGGAAATGTAGAAAGATAAGAATGCATAAACATGATCTCTATTTCAAAAAACTCCAAAACAAAATAAAAGGTAAATTGTTAGGGAATTTATACAACGTAGGACACAGGATTATCATCTCTTATGTAAAAGATGTATTTGCAAATTGGTATGAAAAGAACAGTCTCAGTGGAAAAATATGGAGTCAGAATATGAAAGGGCATTTCATCAAGGAACTATACAAAGTGTAATAAATATTGAAAGCTTCAATGTATTAAAACAACAATAGCAGGATGTTAATTTATTAAAAGATATATCCATTGTTAATGAATTCACGGGAAACTGGACATACTTTTGCTTTTCTGTTGGATACATTAAATCATTGAATCATTCTTGCGGTAAATTTGACAATATTTCAAAGATTTTAAATGTGCAAGATAATTGAACTTTCTATTGGCAGGAATTTACCCAAGATAAATTACCAGAGATAAACACAAAAATAAATTGTATAAATATGTCGCTCCAGGAGTTACTCACAATGCCAAATTTTAGAAACATCTCGAATGTTACAAAAGAATGGGGCAAATACATCACTTGTACCAAATTGGAGTGTGATATGGCTGTGAAAGTTTTATTTGGAAAATCTTTTAAGAGCATTTGGAAATATTCATTAGATAAAATGGGGGAGAGGGGAGCAAATTTAAACCAGAATGTATGGTATTATTCAGGTTTGCTTAAAAACAAGCTTTAATGTGTTACCTGTGAAAATATTAATGATGGAATTGCAGTTCCTATGGCCTTTACACTTCTCTGTTATAAAAATGATTTATGGGTAAACTTACAATAATGAATATGTATTATTATTATATTAAGCTTAAAAAAGTAGAGGGGAAAAAGAATTCCTTTTAGAAGTCCAGATTTTGGTTTTCCATGTGTCGCAAAATACTCCTTCAGTGATTTCCCTTACGCCCACCTCCCAAATGAGGGGGATCCCTGAGGTTCTACCCTACATCTCTGTTCTTACCCTTCCCTGTGTCCCTGAAATCTCTTCTACCCCCACACTGTCTGTAACATCTTGATGAGGGTCTTCCAGGGCACAATTTCATCATTCTTGGCCATCTTTGCACTGCGTGGCTGACTGGTTCCCAGGACCAGTGGGGCATGTGAAATCTCACCCATCACCATTTTCTCAAATGTGCTGCTATTTCTTATTTTTTAAATTCTCTGTTAGTGCAGGTATTATTTGTTGTATCAAACTTATCTTTGGCTTTTTTCCCCCTTGCTTCTCATACCCATATCCTTTGACTTCTCTTCCTCCCTTCTTTCTTCTCTGTCTTACAGATATGCCAAACACTGTTACCCCTGTCAGCTGAGAGGTCTCCTCGTCTTAGCATGCACCCAGCTCCACCATTTAATCAAGGATTCTACAGTGTTCACACTTTAATCTCCTTGAAATGCTGCTTTGACAAGTCAACACCTTCCTTAATCTTTTGCACTTTCTATAGGTTGAAGTTTGCACTTATTCAGTCTTTTCTGCCTTAACTCTCACTTCTGACTGTTCCAAACCAAATCTTTTGATCTACTGAAGCATAACTTTTTCCTGACTGTATCCCCTCTCTCAAACTCTTTTCCTTTTAGCTCCATCTACTCTAAATGTCTCCATTCGTCAGAGTCCAGCTTAAATTTTCTCCTCTGGGAATGCTTTGACAAATAGCATCTGAGGCTTCTTCATCTCTTTCATACTGTGAGAGCTTACTGTAGGTGGGGAAGAGTTTAGATATCTGAAGAACTATATGGTTTTCTGAAGAAATTAACTTGGTTTCTTACTAGGATGACTTTAATATCCCCTTTGCCATGTAAAACAGCTTATACCTATTATTCAGGCATAATTATGACTAGTGCTTCTTTTCAGTTTTAAAAGCTTGGGCAACAAATTGTATGGTTGTCCTACTTATTCAGTGTAAAATACATAGCAACAGAGCTGGTTGGTGAATAAGCAAGTGTCTGTTACTGAACCACACACTATGAGCTTAGGTACTAAAGGGATTCATCTTAAGTAAAAGAATGCCTTTCTAAATCTTAGACTGCAAGAAATTAAGCTGTGGTAGTCCTTAAGCTGTGTACATTCTGGATAACCTTTTGTTATATCAAATTTGGTTATCTAGATTGGAGACAGTGGAAAACATCTATAGCAAATGGTAATAGTCATCCTTTTTCTTGTCCTCTTTTGCTGAGATGGGATTATGCAGGGTAAATAAGTTCTTGAGGAAATGACTCAATACTCATGTCAGGGTCCCTGAGACCACTCCCAGGTTGGTGAATTGCTAGGCAGACTCATGGCTGTGATTTATTATAGTGAAAGGACATACAGAAGAATCAGCAAAGGATGTATAGGGTAAAGGTGCCAAGAGCCCTCTCTGGGTGGAGACCGAAAAAAACATATGTTTAACTCCCCCAGCTATGAGTTGTGACAACACGTGTGAAACGTTGTATATTGGAAACTCATTATAGACTGAGTACCCACGGTTTTTATTAGGGGCTGATCACACAGGTACCCTTTGCTTATTATGTACCCCGATTCCAGACTCCCAGAGGGAAAGCAGGTGTTGAAAATAAACCACATTGTTTACACAAACAGAATAGCCACAGTGAGCTACACTTCCCCATTAGGGTTGGGGGAACCTTCCTGAACCCACATCCCCACCTGCCAGCCAGGGACCAGTCTCGCAGGTGCACCTGTTAGTCGGTAGTGTTTAGGCCTACTGTGTGAATGACTTCTCTGTGTGGCTTTGTTGACCACAGATACTGTCTTAGGCCTTAAAGGTGTCTCTCAGCATGCTAGTTTGTTCCCATGTGCTCGCTGATACAATCAGTAACATTATCTTTTAAAGTAAACAAAAGCTTCAGAAATAACTTGTGGAATAGAAAGGTATATCTGAGACTGAAATATCCTTGCATCCTTTACACCCCATGATGTACCAGAGATTTCTCTCGGAGAGCCAATTTTCTCATCTCTTTCTAATGCCTCAGTGATGTTGAGTGTGTGGTTTGGAACTGGCTATCTGGGGAATAATTAACCAGTAAATACTGCAAATGAGGCTCCCCTTCCCTGCCAATTGTTAAATATTTATTAGCATACAATCACCTATACCTTTTTAACACTCATTCTATAAACTGTGTGTTCCTCTAAACAATAGTGAGAAGAAAATAAACATGATTTATGTTGAAATGCTGATTTTCTTTTGTTGGCATGTATGTGTGTGTGTGTGTGTACACACACACACACACACACACACAAACACTCTTTGGGAACTGAGAAGGCTGTAGTACAAATGTCCTTCCTGATTTATATGTTGTTCTTACATATTAGTTAGAAACTTGAATTCTCAACTTTAAAACTCCCTAGTGAATTGTTAATACCACTTGGTTATTTTTACTTATATAAATTTATAGTAAGTATATACAATTATTTTTAAAGGTGTTTCAAATGAAGTTTTAAGATACTGTGATGTCCAAGCCAGCAAACCTATTTTTATCTTTTTTTTTAAGGAAGTTTTTTTTTTATGTGAAATTATCATTTTAAAATGGCTCCAAAGCAATTTTCTATTCCCAAACTGTTATTGGAGGACACTTAGTTCCACACAGCCTGTTCTTTCATCTGCTTTTAGTAATCTGAGCTGGGAGAGCAGTGCGAGAAACTGGGCAAGAAGAGAAATCCATGGCTCTGCTAAACCAAATCAGTTTTAAGGGCATCTGAGGATGACAGTGGGCATAGAAGAGAGGCAACGTCGAAAAGAAATGATCTCAGTCACACTTCTCCCACACTTTATCAACAGACCCTCACTGCACTTTTAAAGAAAAAAAAATGTGCCGAGCATTAAAAGAGCAAGATGCATTAGGTTAGAACCACTGTAATTTTTTATTTTTTGCTTCTACCACTATTCTCTTTCTAAGAGTTTACCTAGTTTACTGCTGCTTAATCCTCTCAGCTGATTCTCCCCCATTAAAATCCAGATTTGTGCGCAGTGTTCAAGGTCTTTTCTGTGATGCCAGCCTTGTCCTTCCTGTCCGCTTATTCACTCTGCAGCCAAATTGTCAATCATTCATGTGACTGGAGGTTTTCATGGGAGTGGCCCCTTCTTATCTTTGTTCACTGCCAGTTGGTCATCTTAAGATTCAGTTCAAGCCACCACCATTTTCTCCCAGAATTTTTTCCTATAAATAGATTTTCATATACATTTATATACATCTTTTATAATTTGTTTTAATGTAGTGAATGATGTATGCTTCCTCTGTGTGGTTTTTTTTCCTTCCCACTTCATACCCTATAAGTTCTTGGGGGCAAGAACTGTGTTTTTCCTATTCCAAAGACCTAACTGCTATGTCAAAACTTTTTGTAAGACTTAATAAAGATTTCAGGGTGGAATAGGATTTGAGTCTTTCTCCACATAGAACCATCCACAGCCATTCCTTGTATCATAATTTGCCTGTTTTTTGTTCTTTAGGCAGATACACAGATTGACCGAGAACATCAAAACTTCTATGAAGCATCACTAGAATATGTCTTTAAAATTCAAGAGGTTCAAGAGAAAAAGAAGTTTGAATTTGTTGAACCAGTAAGTTTTAACTTCCCTATAAAATAGTAGATCTAGCACATCCTACAGAAAAAAAACAGCTTGTAATTTTTTTCTGTTACATTATGATTTTTAAAAATAAAAGGGAAGGGAGAGTGGGGGAAGGTGAGTAGGTGGAGCCCAGAGCACCATGAAGGCCGGAGGCCGTCCTGTGTGAGGATGTGGTGGTGGATTCGCCGTCAGAGCCTTAGAATGTACAGGCGTAGGGTGTGTCCTAAGGTAGGCTACAGACTTCAGTTAATAACGTCTTAGTATTGGGTTATTTTAACAAATGTACCACACTCTGTAAAATGTTAATATGGGGGAGCTGTGCGTGGGTGGAGATTGAGGGGGCATAAAAAAACTCTGTATTTCCCACTCAAGTTTTCCATAGACTCAAAATTGCTCTTCAAAATAACCTACTAATTGAAAAAAAGATAAAAAAAGTAAAAGTATATACATAGTATATATGCATAAGTGAAGACATCTCACCACTAAAGTGACTCATTTACAAACCGTAAGGTGAGGGGAGAAAACAAGACTGTGTTTCCCCTTTGTTCTCTCCACTTCCTTGCAAGACTGAGACCTGTCTGACTACTCTGGAAGTCATTATGGAAAAGAACAGGTGGCTGGTCTTCATTTTGCTTAGCATTTCATCCCCAAGTAACGCCCTAGTGTGTTACAGTGTTGCCTGAAGCCTTATCTGTGATGCATAAAGGTAAGTTCTGTAAGTCAAGATCATCTTCTGTTGATACTCAGTGGGATTCCCATGAGACGGAGGCAGCAGGAGACAAGGGCAACAATAATAATGTGGGCAATCTGATAGGTAATTGAAGCCATACTTCTCTTCTGACATCAGTTTTTTTCCTTGTAATTTAAGTAAAAAGTAAAAGTACCTGGTTTCTATTTTAGTGGAGAAGGTAGGGAGAAGGGAAGGGAAGACACATTTTAAAGTATATTTGACAAAGTTCATTTCCATATGGAAACCAGTCAGTGATTTCCCAAAGATGATGGAAACCGGGAGAGAAGAGAGGCTGGGAAGAGTTTAAGTTCCTGACTGATTCCTGGTACCTCTGCTTCACTCTCCCCCTCAGTGGGAGCCACTTGATTCTCTCCGGTAAACTGGACATTTGACAAGTTTAGAAGGCCAGCTCCTTCCGCTAGACAGATTTAAGGAACTGGAGGCAATGGCATAGGCTCAGGGTTGTAATCTTTGCCTTAATTTGGGATGAAAGTCTTAACTACAACTTCTCTTTGGCAAACAGCTAAATCCTTAAATCCCTCAGAATGAGTTGGTAACCTCTTATTTAGAAGCTGCTTTGCGCATCTGATTAAACTGTATATGACAGAGGGAGCCTTTGAAGCTCAGGCTTCATGGACACCTAGTCAGCTTTAACACTCCCTAGTCTAAGAAGATGACCAATACCTAAAATTCCTACTTGCTTCTCATCAATCAAGTCCTGTTTACAATTCTACCCTGGGTATGGCAGCCTCTGTACTTGTTGGCAAATTTCCTTCCCAGACCTGCCTCTTGGGGCTTTCTGAATTTTAGTCGTTGACGCCAGACCTTTAGAGCAGCTAATTAACTCTGACGGCATTCCGTCGTACTTCCTCCTTGCCCATCCACTCCCTTCAGACATTGTGCTTACCTGCTCCTGCTGCTCTGCCTCACACCCAGAATGGTCTTTTCACCTCTGAGACCTCTCCTGGAGAGGGACGTGTGGATGGCCTGTTCCCTGTCTAAGCCTCTTGTATAGTGCATCCATCCTGGTTGGAAACAGGGAACTAGACCATTCTGTAAGATGGTGTCAGATGTATAAAGAGAGATTATAAAATTGTTTGCTCACAGGTGACAAAAAGGAATCATAAGAATTTATGAATTCCTATCGTAATACATATAGAGAAGGGGAAACTGTTCTTTTCTGAGAAGTCTTCTATAATGCATGCCTTTCTTCTGACACCACAATCAAAATCGATGTTAAATTTGTCTTTCTTCCAAAATATTTTCTTGACTGCTGTACTTTTCCTATTAGGATGTCTGGCCAAACCAAGTACTGTCCGTTTACTCTCGTTCACATTTCTATCCAGAAAGTCTCATCCATGGGGTTTTACTTAATTTCCATTTCACTAATGAGAACAATACAAATGGGAGCATGAAATGTGGGACATGTTGCTCTTTAGGTTGTGCATTTACAAATTAATTTGGAGGAAATAGTTTTTAAAATTTGAAGAACAAAGCCCCCAGGAGCTATAAACATACAAACAATTGAGGACAGATTATTCGGCAGAAATCCAATTCCTGTGGCATTATTGTTTAACATTACAGAAATCTAGCAGTCTCTTCTAGTTCTAGCATAGATTTTTTTTTAACAAGTAAACATTAGAGTAAAGCAAAATGCCCTACGGATGGTACCTATCTCAACAGATTATATCAAGTGGAAAATATAAATATGGGATGGCTGGCATTAAATATCATAAAATGAGAATATTGATATATTTGAGATAATTTTACATTGCTTCAATTAATGTCAAGATTCTTCTACTTGGGATAAAACTTCTACAGAATATTCAGATGGTATTAGGAGTAGAATAAATACTCCTACAGTGTCATTATTCCAAGAAAAAGTTAGATCTAATACAAAGAAAAATAAGGAAGATTTATAATTTATTTTTATAAATAAGCTATGTTGTTAAAAAGTATACAGAGAGCCAGATTTTTAAACTCAGTTCCCCATTATCTGTGTAATTTTAATGGCCCCTTTTTTTCCATTTGTCACATCTTATCTAGACAGAGATTGTAGTTGACTGGTGCTCTCTAGACCTGTGCAATCCAGTGTGGTAGCAATTAGCATGCATGCCTATCAAGCACTTGAAGTGATAGTTGAGACTAAGATGGGCTGTAATTGTGAAATACACACTGAATTTCAAAGACTCATCACAGCAGCATGTAAAATATCTCACTAAAACCTTTTATATTGAATACATGCCAAATGATATTATTTTGTATATATCATGATAAATAAACTAATTTCACATGGTATAAGTTTTGTTTTAATGTGACTACTAGAAAATTTTAAATTTCACATTGGTTTGCATTTGTGGTTCACATTGTGTTTCTGCCGAACAATGCTAGATTTCATTCTTTCAGATTCATAGTAGGCCTATAATGGTGGGAAAGAGAACAGAGAGGGAAACACATGTCTTCTAACTCTTGATTGCAAGATCTCTGTACTTCTCAAAGTTGGTCAGAGCTTATGATAATTTTGAGGGATTGGGAGAAAAGTTGTGAGAAGTATGCTGGACATGAACAGCTTGTATAAGAGAGCTGAACCCAAGTGTATTGGGAGCATATTATGTATACAGAAGCTTGTGGCTCAGAAAATCAAAAGAATCTTTTTTATGACTTAACTCCCATATGGTTCACTCAACTGCAGTCAGTGTATGTTTTGATCGCCTCCTGTGAGCATATTTGGTTGAAACTAATGTTGTACAAGCAATATTATCTGCTATGTGTTTTCTCAGTGTTATGTCACAGGAGCCCCAGAATGGCTTTATTATTATGTAATTGTTATCTTTCCAGATGAGGAAGTTAAGTCACAAAAAGATTTTGGTTGTCTGAGGTCACAAACCTAACAGGGAGAGCCAGGAATGCAGAACCCATATCTGAAGTCCCCGTATATGTAGCACCACTGACTGGCTAAATGGCTGCTTGGTTACAAAAATTAGTTCTCTTAACTGTGTGATCTGACCGAGTAAAATAGATGACCATAGAAAATTGTGCTGTAAAGTTATTTTAATTCCTTAAAGTTAGGAGAAGAAAATAAGAGGTTGACCTTTACTTTGGTGAAGGACATTGAATCAGACCACATACCTGTCCACTCATTCATTGCTTCCTCCATGCTTTTTCATTATCCTATTTGAAAAGTTCTCTCCCTAGGCCACAGTTGATTGACCACTTTCCATTTTGAGACAGAGATGTATAATGGCTGAGTGGCAACAAAATGGAATTTGGCTCCAATTATATAGCTGTGCAGATTTGATACATTTTTCAACTTCTGTGAGGCTCAGGTCTCAGAATTTGGGGCAAAAACTGTATGCAGTTCTCAGGATTGTGGTCAGGTTCAACCAATGCAGGCGATGTGCAGAGCAAGTGCCCGCTGTGGCGTTAGCATCAGCAAGGTACAACTAGTGTGAACTCTTATGTGGGCTGTTGTCACTAGACAGGAAAACAGTATTAACACATCATTTATTAGTGTGTCTTCAGAGCCAGATACTTTTACAAAAAGCATGTTTTTAATTTTAACATGTTTCTAAATATACATCTAATTTCTGTAGGAGCATTTTCATATTATTCTTTTCAGACTTCATTTTAGTCTTTTTGCATTTTTTAAAAAATAAGGAAAATGTAGATAAAACATTGTATAATATCAACTAAAACATACTCTTTTAGTACTCTTTCCTTAGTCTGTTAAATTTAATTTTAAATTGTTTGCTGAATAAAATTTTACTTGGTTTGCTTAATATGCTTTAGCTCATTATATCATGAAGTATCCTATAAAATACTTTTTTGGGTTCTCTAAAAAAGTTGGAATAATATCAAGACTGCCCAAGAGCTACACTCCAATTTTAAAAAGTCAGATAGACCTGTGAGTTCCGAAAGTTAAACCTCTTTGTGTTCTTTTCAATATGATTGGTTACATTTAATATATGAAATTTAATTTAGGGTAAATTAAAGTGAGCCAATAAGACAGCACCATTTTTTTCAAAACTCTTGTAGGGTCGGGCTAAAAGTTAAATTTCTATCCTGATGAGAACCAGAGGCAATCATTCTATGAAAATAAAAGGATAAAGCTCTCCTCGTGTATCTTAAAATCTATATTGTTCCAGGATTTACTTTAGGTGCTGTATTGAAAATCTGTAATTTGCGATAGCAGTTAATGAATAGAATTTTGGAAAAGTGAGAAAATCATATCCTATTTGTTTGGTTGGCTCATTCCCTTGTAGTTCACTTTAGAAATCAGTCATGTAAAGGCCTGATTGAAATATTGCTTCTGCTGGACTTTAATCATCTTGATGGCTACTTTACCTTCTTTTCTGTTGAGTTGAAAGATAAGCTAACTATTCTTTGTTGCTCCTGTTGCTTTACCACCAAAGTTTACCTCTGGCCTCTTCATCTGCATCCCATACCCTTGGAATCCTAGAAAGTCGCCTTCGGGAACTCCAATGATTCTTCACTGCTGAGGCAATCTGTATAGCCATGACCTCAGTAAGTTTTGCTTCTTCAAATGAATTGAATCTGCAAACATATCTGTCAGTCATTCATTCGTTCTGCATCTTCTTCTCATCACTCTCTTTTCAAAGTTGTTGCCCCAGGCTGCAGCTCACTGGCCACTTTCCATCCTTGGCACTTCCTTCAATTTTCTCATTTATTTGGTTAGATTTTAATTCTCTTTCATTTCCATTCAATAAACTACTCTAAACATCTATGCACTAGACTTTTTTTTTCTCTTCAGTCATTTTAAGGCTATTCTCTAAGATATTTATAAGCTTCCTCCAAGTAAGGAATAACAAAGAACTACAGGTTTAATTCACAGATAGAGCAGTTGTACAGGATGAAAATTGATATTTTGCCTTTGACCTACTTTTCCATTCTTCTTAGAGGTTTCTGTGGCCAGATGTGGAGGTCTATATAAGGTTTTGATTTCTTTTAGTTCATTATGGTGCTCTGTGTATATGAGAAGTGTTTGTTTTTATTTTCTTAAAATCAGTCTTTATTGGGATGTAATTCACATAACCATACAATTCACCCATCTTCAGTTAATTTTTGTGTTGATGTGAAGTAGGAATCCAACTTCATTCTTTTGCATGTGGCTATCCAGTGGTCCAAGAATCATTTGTTGAAGCAACTATTCTGTACAGGTCTTGGCCTTCTTAATGAAGATAAGTTGGCCATAGGTTTATTTCCAGACTCTTGGTTCTCTTCCATTGACTTATGTGCCTATCCCTGTACCAGTTGACACTGCATTGATTACTATGACTCTATATTAAGCTTTGAAATTGAGAAATGTGAGTCTACTTTGTTAAGATTGTATTGAGGGTCTCTTGAAATTCCATGTGCACTTTAGCATCAGCTTGTCAATTATAAAAAAGTCAGCTGAGCTCTTTGATAGGGATTGCACTGAGTCTGCACATCATTTGGGAAATATTGCCATCTTAGCAATATTAAGTCCTCCAATCCATGAACATGAAATGTTTTCCTTTCATTTAAACCTTCTTTAATATCTTTAAACAGTGTTTTATACTTACAAATTATACATTTTGTGTTTTTAAAATTTTATTCCAAAGTATTTCATTCTTTTTGAAGCCATTGTAAAGGGAATCATTTTTTATTTCGTTTTCAGATTGTTCATTGCAAATGTATAAAATATAGTTGATTTTTGTATGTTGGTCTTGTATCCTGCAACCTTGCTGAACTCGTTTATTAGTTCTAGTAGTTTCTTTTTCTTTTTCTTTTTCTTTTTAAGTAGATTCCTTAAAAATTTTTTTTAGTGATTAATTTCTTAGGAGATAAGAAATGACTCACATCATTATAAGAGCTATTACATCCCAGTTAGGCTCAGTTTGGGAAACAATCATCTGGAATTATGCATCAATTGCTTGGATTTCTTCATTTTACTCCCGTGCTAGCCTTAACCCCTTTCCTCACTTTTGCTCTGCCACTCACAGTATCCCTGGTAACCTGGACCCTTAAGACTTGAAACCTGATGATTAATGGGTCGGAAAATGATGAATAAGTTGTTCCTTTGCTGAGTTATAATGGGTTTTGCTAAATGATTGTCCATAAATGTAGTATCAATTTTTACATTTTGTCAGGTTACTAGAGTGACAAATAGTAATTTGATTTTAAACCCATGGGGATAATAAAGTGCTATATAAGTTTTTCTTTATGATTAAAAGTGACTTTATTAAAACCTAATATGTCTATTTCGTAGTTTTCAGTTGTTATTATTTTAAAGGTCAGGCTTACTTTAAGATGAGCTGGGACATAGTATTTTCCTTACCACTCCACCCACTCAGGCAGATTGAACAGAGGAAGTAATACATGGGAAATGCAATTCTTAAAGATATTCAGGCTGTCTTTTTAAGTTCCCTTAATTTAGCATCATGGAGTTTATTGGGGATAAAATGAATTAGTATATATTTCAAATGAAAAACTGATTAACCTTGCTACCATCTAGAGGCAGTTATTTCATTAAACTTTTCCAAAAGCTGTTTCCAAAGTAAATGTGGAATACAAGGAATAAGTAGGTGGTTCTTTGTATATGAATTTTCTGTATAATTTCCTCCCAAAGAATTGTACTTTCCCTAGGGCATGCTCCACATGCATCGTGAGATTAAAACGTATTTGTCTGCTACTAAGTGAATCTGAATTCTGCTAGAAGATGCCAGTGTGTTTGTTTACATAGATCAGTCTTGGAGAATTGGGTGTTTTATAGAAAGACTTACTACATATATTCTTAAAGTATCTTCTTTATAAGTTTAATTCAGGGCTCTGTACTTAGAATAATAGTACAGCATCTTCCTTATGTAGTAACCATTTCATAAGACAGTTTAATTATGAACTAATTATAGATATTAAAACATGAAACAATTAACCTAACAAATTCATAAACTATTTGGATATTTAGAAGACTAGTATAGTCCATTTGCTTGAGAGATTTTTTCTCATTTTGTCTCTGAAAACCTCTAACGGTACATAACCACATCCCACTTAAAGGTATTTTTTAAACCTATTTTAAGATACAGTTCATTTCAATTAGGCATAATGTACAATGTATATATTTAAAATTATTGGATAATTTAACAAAATATCTTGTAGCATCATTTTAGTAAAGGATAATCTATTGAATATTTGGTTTTGATAATAATTACCAGTTGATGTAAAGTTGACAGTATAAAATAATTCTAAAATTGGCAAACAATACATTTTGACATGTTATCAGGAACTGTTGAACAAAAAGATAAACCAGTATTTGTTGAAAACCTTACTTCACACACCACTTGATACTTAGCTGAATCCCCGTGCTTCCCAGACTGGGGAAGTGATGGGATGTTAATCACATATGAAAATGATTTCAAACGGTGTTTTTTCCTTAATTTAAAATAGTAGCTTACAGACATCATGCTATTTGAATTAGAAAAAACAGCTACTTCCCAAAAATATTTTCTAATTTCATTGTAGGAAAAAGTTGTGGAGGAAATCAAACTGGTGGACAAGTTTCTGGAATAAAATCCCAGTGAATTAAATGAAACAAATAATTAGTTTTTCAGGTATAACTTAGTCCATATAAACAACTGTGCTCTCCAAAGCACGTAGCAAATAAGTATATGTGAATTTGGAATTAGAAGGCTAGGATCATAGAAATTGTGGTTTTCTAAAGAATATTTTGTTCTTATATGAAAGATCTGTTTTTAGCTTCAAGTTTCTGCTCAGCTGTTCCCTCTGATTTGAGTTCTTTCCACTACTTGCTAAAATGGAAGTTATACCAAACCCAAATCAATACTGCCACCTTGTGATACTTTTCTTAATTTCCTCTGTCCAAATTCTTCCTTCCCTTGGATATTTTTACCTCTCTAATTTACTGGTTTAGTTTACCTCACATCTGCACATGTTTTTTCTCCCTGTTTATATTATAAGCTCCTCTGGGATAGAATGTATGTCATTTTGGTCTTTATCTCCATTAATGTTCTCTTCTGGATATTTCTTCAATGCATTTAAATAGTAGAGTAGTTAAATGACAACTACCCATGTCACTGTTTATCAAAAAGGAATAAAAAATAGCTTTTGTAGTTTGTTTCAGACCCACAATTCTAGGTCCTGCTTTGTCAAACAAAGGGGTTGAAAATATATCAGCTTGAGGAATTAGAATGAGATATAATTTCCCCAATTTATTGATTTGATGATCATCTTTTTTGAAAGCACATTTTCATGGTTTCTCTTTTATCTCTTTATTTTTGCAGCTTTTGTCATTCCTTCAGGGTTTATTTACTTTTTACCACGAGGGATATGAACTCGCCCAGGAATTTGCACCATATAAGCAACAGCTGCAGTTCAACTTGCAGAATGTAAGACTATACCTATCCTCACCGCTTCTCCTTAGTTGATCAGATGGTCACAGTGCAGCTATGTTATAATTGTGCCAAACTGTGGAGTCTTTCAAAAGCTTATCAAATAGAGTAAAACCTCACTAACTTAGAAAAGCTTTAAAATTTAATAAATTAATTTTTTATTTAATTATTTTTATACACTTATTAATTTTTTTCCCAGTTACTCTTTGAAAGTATACCAGAAAAGATCTAGTCTTATATTAGGTAAATTTATTCTAGCAAATTTCATAAAAAATAAATATTACTGAGGTGCAGACACTGGAAAAGTCAGAAACTTTGCCTTTATCCAGTGTTCTTCTTGTTTTACTGGGTGACTTGAGCAAGTCTTATTTTCTAAGAGGGTGACATTTCCATATTTGCAAAATGAAGATGCTGTGCTTTAGTGCTCTGTCACTTCCCTCTCTGAAATTACATGTATCTATTTTCTAATAAGTTTGAATGTGGTTTTTAAGCATTCATAATAACTGTTTTAAATCTTAATTAAGAATTACAAATATCTGTTTCTGTCAGGTTTTATTTTGTAAAGTTGTCTCATCCTTTTAATATCTGATTGCATAGTTGTATAAATTCTAATTGACAGATGCTGAACACTGCTTACATGAAAAACACAAAAACTTAGCCAATCAATTTCTGCCTTATCAAACCTTACAAATGAAGTCCTAGTTATTGAGGGTTTGTATAAATGAAGTGATTTCTGAATCCCTAACTGTATAATATTCTATATCCAAAATAATTTATAAGCTTTCACTTAATTTTCTATAAAAAGCTTGTCTTTCACTTTTTATCTGGTTCTTGTCATTGTGGAGATGTTCAGTAGATAGAACTATGGAGTTGGAGTGTCCCATGAGAAATAGGTGATCATATTTATTTCACTTACGTTTTGAGTTGTACCTTTTTATTTAACCTAGATTTTCTAGCAGGATCAAATTCATATGCAATTCATAACATTGTTTTTCAATATAGAATGCATTTTGACTTTTTCAGTAAACATTAATAGGGAAAACTATAAATTCAAAGTATTGTGATTTATTTCCATATTAATTGCAGTTATATTAACCTTCCTGGATTCAAGAACAGGAAAGGGTAAGGAATTAGAAAAAAAACTGATTCCTACATTTAGAAGAGAAAATTAGCAAAGGTGGCAATTAAGAAACTTTTCTTAACTTACTTGATATTCGGTTCTTTTATTATGGGCCATAACAAAGTCTTAGAGTTAGGTGGTGATGATTTTAATTTTTCCAAATGTATATTGTTGAAATAATGTGGCCAGAATGCAAAAGAGATTTTCATGAAGAAAAGCCATATGCTTTCTATGTCTTACCTTAAATAAATTTGCTGTGATATGAGTAAACTATTTCTTACAATAGAAGAAGTGAGGACTTCAAAACCTATTCATTGTTACAAATGAATTTATACACTAACTGCTTGTTACTGATGTTAGGCTGTCTAGAAACCAAGTGAAGCTTCTTCAAAACAGTGTTTGGACTGACGGTGATGAACTTTTTCTTGTTAAGTGCCACATATGTCAAAAGTGTGCGAATTGAATTTGTTTTTATCCCCCCAAAGAAAGGCAAGATTCCTATGTACCTGCTTTTTTACCTTAGGTATTAGTGAATATAAAACTCTATTTAATAAATATTACTTATTTTTAAATGCTGTAATTTGCCTTCTGAGTCATAAAATCAAAGTGGAAAATAGGAAGCAAGAACACACACACACACACAAACATGCAGAAAGTTATTTAAAGATTCACTAAAGCAACTGAAAATCAGATCATAGAAGTCAACATAGAGGGTCATGGATAAGGTTAACAGTGCTGAAAAAATCAAGGTTATCCTTTGCACTAGTTGCCATTTTGAAACTTTAAGCTGGAGGTTCCTCAAAACTGGTAGGAAGAAAAATGAATGAAATTATTTCTGTTTACTTAAGACAAGGAATAATTTTGAAAGTACTCGACAAGAGGTGGAGCGGTTGATGCAAAGGATGAAATCTGCCAACGAGGACTACAGACCGCCTAGCCAGTGGACGATGGAAGGCTATCTTTATGTCCAGGAGAAACGTGAGTCAAAACGACAAAACTTGGTATCACTTAGGATTAACACTGTGATTCTATGAGATTTGATAGGTTAGTCTTTTTTCCTTCAAGTGCGGAGTCTGAAAGCCCCTACAACTTTATCGTGTTTAGTCTGCTTTCCGACTACCACTGCCCAAATAAGAAAGTTTTTCTGCATTTTGCCATTAGGATCTCCAAGTTGGTATATTAATGAACCTGGAACTTAACATTCTTTACTGACAAGGTAACATGAGTTCAGTTTAGAATGTAATTGTGATGTCTAATCTTAATTTCAATTTTCATGGGAAAATGAAAATCAAAGCTTTAAGCAGAATGAATCATCCTGGGGACTATAATAGTTTTCTCCTCCAGCAGCATTATTTCCTTTAATTCTGTGCTCCATCAGTTTTCAAGAGTAAAATGGCAATTATTTAACATCAGATTGACACTCTTACTTGTGAGGCGAGGAAATAAGCATCAGACCCAGCAGAGCATTAGTATAATTGCCTCACACTAAGGAAGTTTTTCTCACAAAAATTAATAAAAGCCCCTCAAACTTGTATACCTAGGGTTCTTTCTGCATGATACTTGTCTTGAAAGTAGAACCAGTCTGACTAAATTAACTCAATTTTAAACCAGGTATGCCCTAAAGCACCATTCTCACTGTGTTTGTGGCAAAGAAACGGTTGTTTTTACTTCCAGCATATCAAAGAGCAATGCCTTTGTAAAACACAAAATCATGTTTGAATTTTGCAGTAATGTAAAATTGCCAGGAACATTTTAAAATGCTCATTCTCATTTTCTGTACTTTTCTCCTATAGAGGAACTCGTAAACCGCATGGAGTAGTACTACTCTTAGGTCTCCATGTCAGTAGATAATAGATAAATGAAACTGTTTTGGTTAGTAAGATACTATAGTCAAAATATTTGGGTTGGTGAAACTGGAGATACTGAGTTGGCTTGAAAATTTTTGACGTAATGCAGTATAACCACTAAAATACCAATATAGTTTATAATTAACATGGTGAGGTGAGGCTCTTTTGCAGGATAACATTATATAAGCAAAAACCACTTTGCTCCAACAGACTCAGACGACACTTAGGACGACATGAATCAGATGGTAGAGGGCTGCTGGCTCAGGAGATCCGGATTCAGAGATTTTTCTCATAACTATCTACCTTGACCAACTGGCTGTTTTTAGATGTGAAAAGTATAAATCTAATCACCTGCTGAGCTACCCTGTTACTAAAGCATATAATAGCTTCCACCATAATTTCATGAAAAAAAATTCATTGGTTCTATACAGGATCCATGGATTTAACTCATGGCACTAATGAAATTTTGAATGCTTATTTTGAATAACTATGTCAGACTCAACAACCTCAGGGTGAGGCCACGCTGAAAGGAACTCATTTTGTATCAAAAGATTTTGCTGAGCAGAAAAAGTCCTTGATAGAGAGGCCTGTTCAAAGGTGCACGTGATAGTGGTGTATTCCTCTTGCCAAAAGATTTTTTTATTCATTGTGGCTAATCATTTTTTTCTTGAGTTCTTTTCCCAGTGTTACACAGTTGCTAAAATCCTGCGAGTATACAGTATTTTGTTCTAAACAAAGAGTTTTGGATTACTTAGTAAAATTCTTTTGTACGTAATCTTGAAATATATTCAGTAGCTACTTGGTAATCCATCCATTGGATGCTGCCATGGTTTGCTTAGTCATCCCCCAGCTGTTGGACATTCGGGTCAAACCAGAAGCACAGGCCCTTTAATAATTTGGGGGCGACATGGATGAACAAAATGCAGTGTTCCATGCACCCATCTGATACTGCTCTTTTGGTCTAAGGTATCTGATTCTCCTCTGGGTCAGTCTGAGCTGATCATAAAGCCCTTTGTGCACTACCTTTCCTCTGAAATTTCCTGTCTCTTGCAATGACACTACCCACCCTCCTAGGCTTCAAAACCTGAGGTTAATGCTTAACTCCAGTATGTCCTCATAAACTGGGGCCAAGTCTGTCCATTTTATCTCTTTGATAACCATTGAAACCCACACCTTCGCTGTCTCCACGTTCTTGCAGTGGCCTCCCAGCTGCTCCCACTCAGCCTCTGGGCTTGCTAACCTCTCACCCATCCTCTTCAGAGCTTCCAGCTGATCCTTTTACAAGGTCTGCCTGGTGGTACCCCTCCTGTGATGGCCCCTCAGCAATGGAGCCTTCGAGGCGCTTAGAGTTGGTCTCTTCCCCTCTTCTTAGCATCTTTCCTTTTGATATTGCCTGCCTTCTCCTAAGACACTTTCATCGCAGTTTTTTTCTGGATCTGCCTGTATTATTTTTGCAGCTTTAGTCAGATACGGTTGACATACAATAAATTGCACATATTCACAATGTACTGTCTGATAAGTTTTGCCGTATGGATGCACCTGTGAACCATCACTACAGTCAGCATAATGAACGTATTGATATTCATCACCTTCAAAAGTGCTGTCATTCCCAGTATAACTCTTCCCTCCTTTCTTTTCCCATTCATCATACTCCCCTCTTCCCTTCTTGCATAGAGATTTAATAAGAAAAATGAATGGATTTATTGCATTTGGAATTATTATTATTATTATTATTTTGGTATCATTAATCTACAATTACATAAGGAACATTATGTGTACTAGACTCCCCCCACCACCAAGTCCCCTCCACAGACCCCTTCACAGTTACTGTCCATCAGGATAATAAGATGCTGTAGAATCACTACTTGTCTTCTCTGTGTTGCACAGCCCTCCCCGTGTCCCCCACGCACTATACATGCTAATTGTAATGTCCCATTTCTCCCCTTCCCCCTCTTATCTCTCCCTTTTCACCCATCCTCCCCAGTCCCTTTCCCTTTGGTAACTGTTAGTCCATTCTTGTGTTCTGTGATTCTGCTGCTGTTTAGTTCCTTCAGTTTTATTTTTTTGTTTTTATACTCCACATATGAGTGAAATCATTTGGTACTTGTCCTTCTCCGCCTGGCTTATTTCACTGAGCATAATACCCTCTAGCTTCATCCATGTTTTTGCAAATGGTTGGATCTGTTTTCTTCTTATGGCTGAATAATATTCCATTGTGTATATGTACCACATCTTCTTTATCCATTCATCTACTGATGGACACTTCGGTTGCTTCCATTTCTTGGCTATTGTAAATAGTGTTGCAATAAACATAGGGGTGCATCTGTTTTTTTCAAACTGGAGTGCTGCATTCTTAGGGTAAATTCCTAGAAGTGGAATTCCCGGGTCAAATGGTATTTCTATTTTGAGCATTTTGAGAAACCTCCATACTGCTTTCCACAATGGTTGAACTAATTTACATTCCCACCAGCAGTGTAAGAGGGTTCCCCTTTCTCCACAACCTTGCCAACGTTTGTTGTTGTTTGTCTTTTGGATGGTGGTGATCCTTACTGGTGTGAGGTGATATCTCATTGTGGTTTTAATTTGCATTTCTCTGATGATCAGTGATGCAGAGCATCTTTTAGTGTGTCTGTTGGCCATCTGAATTTCTTCTTTGGAGAACTGTCTGTTCAACTCCTCTGCCCATTTTTTAATTGGATTATTTGCTTTTTGTTTGTTGAGGTGGGTGAGCTCTTTAAATATTTTGGATGTCAACCCTTTACCAGATCTGTCATTTATGAATGTATTCTGCCATACTGTAGGATGCATTTTTGTTCTATTGGTGGTATCCTTTGCTGCACAGAAGCTTTTCAGCTTGATATAGTCCTACTTGTTCATTTTTGCTTTTGTTTCCCTTGCCCGGGGAGATATGTTCATGAAGAAGTCACTCGTGTTTATGTCCAAGAGATTTTTGCCTATGTTTTTTTCTAAGAGTTTTATGGTTTCATGACTTACATTCAGGTCTTTGATCCATTTCGAATTTACTTTTGTGTATGGGGTTAGACAGTGATCCAGTTTCATTCTCTTACATGTAGCTGTCCAGTTTTGCCAGCACCATCTGTTGAAGAGACTGTCATTTCCCCATTGTATGTCCATGGCTCCTTTATCGAATATTAATTGACCATATATGTTTGGGTTAATGTCTGGAGTCTCTGTTCTGTTCCACTGGTCTGTGGCTCTGTTCTTGTGCCAGTATCAAATTGTCTTGATTAATTTGTGGCTTTGTAGTAGAGGTTGAAGTTGGGAAGCGAGATTCCGCCCCTCCCCCCACTTTATTCTTCTTTCTCAGGATTGCTTTGGCTATTCAGGGTCTTTGGTGGTTCCATATGAATTTTAGAACTATTTGTTCCAGTTCGTTGAAGAGTGCTGTTGGTATTTTGATAGGGATTGCATTGAATCTGTAGATTGCTTTGGGCATGATGGCCACTTTGACAATACTAATTCTTCCTAGCCAAGAGCATGGATGAGTTTCCATTTGTTAGTGTCCTCTTTAATTTCTCTTAAGAGTGTCTTGTAGTTTTCTGGAATTATTTTTTATATGAGAGACCCTTTCCACTTGGAATCTTTTGAAAAGCATCTATAATAAGACAGTCTGACCAGTTTCCCTAAGACATTGGCTGTGCTGTTGCTGTCACTGAATGGATAAGTTCTGTTGGGAACAGAAAATGAGGCTGAGAATATGACTTTAGAATATTTATTCTGTAGTGGAAGGCACAAGAACTCATGCAGATTAGCAGCTACTGATATCAAATAGTGAATATCAGAGCTGTAAAATGAGTGATAATTGGAGATGGATGGGGTGGTAGCAGATCATTGCAGTGTAGACACAGAGCTCCACTTGATCTGGATATGTGGTTTTGATGTTACCCAGTTCTTGGCATACATTAAATTGCCTTCTAATAGACTTCAGTTTACCCAGGAAGAGGCTGAGTTCTCGAGTCAGGCAGAATTATATTGAAATTCCATTGCTGCTAGCTGTTAACTGGGTTATTCTAAGCAGACAACTTTCTGAGCTCAGTCTCATTTATAAAAAAAAAATATATATATATATATATATATTTATACCTGTCTTGTAATAATGTTGCAAGACTTAGAGGTGACAGGTGTAAAGTGTCTGTAGGTTTGGCAGTGGTGTGAAGTCATGCTCCTGGGTTTGGTTTGTGCCCCTACTGTTCTCTGCAGTTTATGTTTATCTCATTTAATTCTTTTAAACAACTCTTGAGAAGTGCTGTTCCTCTAAAAAGAACAACTCTAATCACATACCTTCTTGACAAAGAAAGTAGTATTATCTGCAGCTCTTAGACAATATTTTCTTATATGTAAAATGCTCATTATAATGTCTGACTTTCAAAGTTCTTAGGTAAAATGCTGGCACTTAGTAAGTTCTTAATAAATGTTAATTTTCTCCCATTCTGCAAACATCATTTGGCAACCTTAGATAATTACTGGGTAAGATATTTAAAGTTGTTTTATTTTGCCAGTTTAGAGCTATAATAAATTTGTACTTTCCCAGATCTTTTTAGGGACTTAAGAATTGCTTATGTAAGAACATCTGTCCTGGCTTAGTGCCAGGCAACTTTAAAGAAAGCATGTTGATGCAGCAAACTTGACCATAAGAGCAGGAGGTACTGAACTTAACATGGAGGTGGGAAAAAACAGCTTAGGTCCGAAATGTCATCAGGTAATTGCAGCAGCTTTATTTGAAAAGGACAACTATTTATCCTATTTAAAAAGGATAGCTAATATTGCTTCACAAATTGCTCCCTGAGAGTAAAGTCATTATAAGGATTTCCATCCAGCCACTTTCCACTAATCAGATCTATGCCTGTAAGTATTTTATACCATATGTAACAGAATTATCAACAAATATTAAGAATTACAATGTAAAATGGTCCCAAAACAGAATGAAGTTAATTGCAATAATCCTTTGTGATTGCAAAGTATGTAACTGCACTCCCTGATTTTAAAATCTGGAGTGGCTTAAGTATTAAAGCTAAATATGATACTAAAGGCACTATTATTATAGGAAATAAAAGTTCAAATGGCTCATGAAACAGTTTTCTTGAGGTACATTTTTGCATTTCAATTTCTTGCTTTTGTATATATCGTTATGAAACCAAGTCATTGTCCTTAGGCACAATGCTAGAAAGTTCTAGGTGTTAAGCAGGATGGGACCCTAGATGGAGAAGATCTAGAGAAAACAAGTTCCATTTTTAACCCAGTGACCCCCCTGTGTCATTAGGATACAGGATAATTGGCTTCCTGGTGGGAAAACTGAAGGTCTTCCACCATGGTCATGGAAAAATTGAACTCATGATGCATCCCTGCACTCTGGTGAAGCGGCAGCATGTAATGCCTTAAAGAGAATACAGGATGGTGCTGTGCTGTGCTGTGCTGTGGGAAAGGGTTGCCCAGTATTTATGGTGAAAAGGAAGAAAGTGAGCATTATACACACACATCTTTCTTTTAATTTTCATTTTAAAAGGAGCCATTTGAATTCACTGTTTTCAGATTAGTGGTAAGAGGAAATAACTCCAAGGTCAATAAAACCCTAGAGAAACATGAGTGATTCATTCCTTCATTGATTTTTCAGGTATTTATTGAGCAACAACTATATGCCTGGCCCTGTTCTAAGGATTAAGAATACACTAGTCAGCAGAACATCATATGGTCTTGCTCTTGTAGCGCCTTAGAGTATAGTGGCAGAGACAGACAATAAATAGGATAAATTAGTAAAATGTACCGTATTTTAGACAGTAGTAACTGCTATGGGAAAAGTAATGTAAAGAAGAGAGGAAATATCAAGGTGACGGTGTAGAGATGTTAGATACCTCTGCAAGAAGGGCCATAGTATGAAGGTGACATTTATGAACAGACCTGAAGGACAGTGCAAGTTGTGCAGATACCTAAAGGAAAAATAGTCGAGGCTTGGGGAACAGTAAGTGCAAATGCCCTGGGGACAAATGCATTCACTGCATTCAAGGATCAGCAAAGGGGCCAGTGCAGCTGGAGTGCATGAGGAAGAAAGTAGTCAGATGTGAGGTGAGACTGAATAACGAGGAGCCAGATCATATGGGGCCTTTTGGATAGGATAGGCTCTTTGATTTTCATCTAGAGTGATGTGGAAAACCACTGGCCAGTTTTGAACAGAAGAGCAAAATGACCTGGGTGAATTTTTAGCAGGGAATTTCTAGCAGTTTCAAGAATAGAGGACATGGATAAAAGTAAGGAGGCCAGTTGTAGTAATTCAAATTATTGCTCATTCTTCCTACCTCTATTGAATATAACAATAACACTTTTATAGATGAGGTAAGTAAAGTTCACATCTAAAGTACCTCTTGAGTTTACACAGAGTCAGAGCTGCAAGTAAAGCCAAGTCATTTGATTCCAAGACATGCTCCCCTATACTGCTATCTCTCCCTCCTAGCCTGTGTCACTCACAGTAAATATCCAATGAGTATAGGCTGTGGAAATCCTGCAGTGTGCATGATAGCAATGAATGCTGTACAAACTTAGATACAAATCATTATTAACATTCTGTAACATTTGTTTCCCTACATTAGGACCACTTGGTTTTACATGGACTAAACATTATTGTACTTATGATAAGGGAAGTAAAACATTTACAATGAGTGTTTCAGAAATGAAATCCAGTGGGAAAATGGTGAGTCGTTTTTGTTTTTAAACTGAGCTTGTTATTTAAGTAATGGAAGTAAAACAAAAAGTCACGTGTGCTTGTTTTTTAATAAACATATACACAATTCTTAAAAACAGAGAAGTCAAAAAGGTTTTCTCTCACCTTGATGATTTTAAAAAGAGAGGAGCCAGGATTTTTCTTTACCTTGGACATGGAATGTTTACAGGCAGTTGAGTTAAATACTGGAATCCTTTGGTAGGCTTCTGAGGGTCACCTCACATCCCTGGCAGCCGAGTTGTCTATGCTTTTGTTGGCCAGCAGCCCAGTGGGGACTGTCAGTGGCTGGACCAAGCTCAAGGATTCTGCCTTTTTACCCCAGATGGCCTCTGTGGGAAGCTGCCTTTGCCCCTGCCTGCTGCTTCCTCTTCTGCACTGTGCACTGTTTACTGAAATGCAGGTCAGTGACGTGTTGCAAAAGAAATCAGTCAATGCTCGTTTGCTGCAAAAGTTAAATTGGTCACTGGGTGTCTCACATGACTAGTAAACAGTGTAGAACAAAGTGTACTTTACCTGAGGAAATGCTCCAGAATGCAGCACGTTTACTGTGTGTAGTGTATAATCTTTCTGTGAGTTAAGATATGAAAATTGCAAATGACTAAGCTTGTGAATTAGGTAATTGGTACCGTCTAAGGATTCTAGAGCTGGCAGTTATCCCGAAGATTGTTTAGTCCATCCTTATTTCAACTGATTAAAAAATGAAGATGGTAGAAATGACTCACTCAGCTAATCTGTGGTAGTGATTGTGGCAGCAGTGAATGGTGAGCTACCTGAGACACATACCCAAATATATCAGCTGACACACTTATGTTCAATATGACATAAAAGAACATACTAGAGAAAAAGGAACCTTAGATTGCTGCCATCGTGAGAAGTTATTAAGTGAGATAATACACGTGGTTTGTACTCTAGGGGTTTCATAAGCAAAGGTACTGCCTGTAAGTCAGTTTATGTGATAGCCAGTGAGCTAATAAAATAGAACCAAGCTGAAGTTCTCCTAGTAAATCTGAGATTTGCAACGGAAGACAATAGAATTAACCAGACATTAGGTAAATGTTCCCTTTAAATTGACTGACATCTCAGGTATAGAAGATAGTTCTTAAGAATTGAGCTTATGTTGGATCTTGTCCAAAGAGTTTCAGTAGCAGAGTAGCAATTGGATACCAGCAAAACAGTCATGTATGTATGATTGTAGTAGTGTAATCTCTTAGCAATCTAGGACATTTTAATTCAAGAGCAACAGTGTTGTATATCCTGATAAGCAATCTGTATATCTAACTGTGACATTACAGTAACTCTAATTTCACACATTTTCTAAGTCTGAAGCCCTAAGGAATGTACATTACAGTGTGATTTAATATTGCAAATAAATGTGTAAGTGTTGAAGAATCCTAGATAAGCATGTTGCAGAATTATTTGAATAAGTATGTGTATGTGTGATTACTTTATTAGTAAATGGTTTATATTATAATTGAGCAGTTGACATTATGCAAAAAGCTTTTGCATTCATAGGATAGGATGTGATTATGACCTTTATACATGACCTTACGTATAACCTGTTCTCTAACATTTTAGTACAAAAACTTGAGGTGGTGTATTTAATATTTTTCCATTCCCCTTGTCATCGTGTCACTGTGCTCCCCTTCTTGTTTCAGAATGGCCTTGTTACTAGCTCACCAGAAATGTTTAAATTAAAATCTTGTATCCGAAGAAAGACAGATTCAATTGACAAACGATTCTGCTTTGACATAGAAGTAGTTGAAAGGTTTGAGCTTTTCTTTATATTTTTTAATAAGCTGAATTATTTGTTTCTATGTTTAGGTATAAATATGAAACCGCATAGATGTGCTTGTGTTTTAGTCTCTTTAAAAGCAGTATGCATACATGTTCATTCTTTCACATTTGTTCAACAAAGATATATTGTATGATGCTTTCAAAAAATTCAAACACAGAATGCTGTGTAAAAACATTACCCAGGGAAGGATCTGGAAAATCAGCATAAAAGATGGCATGGGGGAAAAGTGCATGCTGTGTGGACTTGAGGCCCCAGCATTAGGCAGGAGCCTGACAGAGGCATCCAAGGCTCTGGGTCAGCCTCTCTGTAGGCTTGGGAGGTCTGGTGACTTTGCTTCCAGTTAATAATAAGACACAGCTGGGGATGCCATAAGCCTCCTTCCCCAGCAAAATTCAGCACCTCCCCTGTATTCTGGACATTCTTAGCAATGGGGATATTGGGAGAGACATAAATGGGAATATTTCGCTCTACTCCTTTCTTCTATCAGTACAAGTAGAATAGAAACAGAATAAAAACAGTTATGCTTCTTGGTCTCTGTTCTGTTCCAGAATCTGTTTCCCTGCTCCTGCATATGACCACACTTTTCTGAATACTGTAGCTTTGTGCCTATGTACTAATATACTATAACGCACTATAACATACAATATATATTCTCATTTACTATATACATGTGTAGTTCACATATGCTATGGCTTGTAACTATCTAGTAGAGTAAGGCCCCCATTCTTAGGCTCCTTTGAAATTGTGTTACCTACTTTGGCCCTGTGTTCTTATTGGATGTGCTTACTAAGTTCCCCTTCCTCTCCTGTGGGATTTTTGACTGGGATAGTATTAAAGTTTTCCTTAGATGGAGAGTTGAACTCCCTTTGAAGATTTTACCTACCTTTCTTTTTCTTTTATTCTGGGCACCCTCTTTTTATTGCAGTTTTGAATAGAATTCATTTGTAGAAACTGCTCTTTTTTCTAAATGGTTGACACTTCTTTATAGAAAAGTTATTAAGTTTATATATAGATACATATACATAGCAATCTATGTCCAGCATAGATGTAGAGCTCTTTATTGGTTTTAATAGTTGTGTTGTAGAACTTCTGGATTTTCTGTGTAAACAAATATGAGTATGTTAGCAATTTTTCTTTATTTCTGCACTTTCTAGTTATATAATGTTGGCACACACTGTTAAACTCTGTGTTTTATTTGCTTCATCTGTAAAATAAGGATAGTAAGTAACTGTCTTACAGGACTGCTGTGAGGATTAAATGAGATAGTAAGGGAAACATACAACCATCCCTGATACATAATACACAGCCAACAAATATTGATTGTTGTTATTTTATTATTGGTGGTGTTACCCTAGCTTAAATTCTCCAAGATCAAGTTATCTTGATCCTTATGTCTGTTTTCCTGTTTAGAGAAGAGATATAGGTCTTTATCACAATTTTGGTCCATTTCAGGTTTTTAATTGTACAATATTTAAATGAAGTTTCTTTCTCAGTATACCTCTCCATAGGGCCTTCTAATCTCCTGATGAAATTCATTTTTTGGACAGTATACACATTTAACTAGGTTAAATTTACTGTTACTGTGTCTCATCTTTTCCTCCTGTTGGTTTTTTCTTGCTCTTTCTCTCCTAAAGTATATCTTCAAGTCACTATTTCAAAATGGGTAGTTGGGATAGGAGTTATTTTTGAATGAATTAATTTTAATAGTGTGATTATAGTATAAATAAACACATTGGTTTTAGTATACTCTTAATAATTAATTATTTTATTGTATGAAGCTTTCCATATCGCTTATACTCATCATAGTTATTTTTAGTGAATAGATGTGCCACGTTGGGATCATAATTGTGATCTTCCTCATAGTGTGGGATGTGTGACTGGTTTTGAACACGGGTGAATGTAACTTTGTCAGCTTTTTGGTCATTTCAGGGGCTATAGTTTGAAACTTGCCTCCTTCAGACCGTCTTGTACCTAAAACAGTGATTTTGCTACCTCTGATTAGTTGAATTAAAAATCTGTGTGTGTGTCTGTGTGTGTTGTGTCCACAGTGACTTTTCTGAAAGGTACCTGTTGGTCAATCTTTTCACTTTCTGTTTTTCTTTCCTTTTTTCATTTTTTCTCTTCCCTACTTTTTCTTCAGATTTTACCTTTATAGTTGACTAAGAATTTATAAAAATAATAAATGTGTAAAGACATACAGGAATAAATTGAATTATATAAAATGTTTGTTTTTCATAGGCATGGGATCATCACGTTACAGGCCTTCTCAGAAGCTAATCGTAAACTCTGGCTAGAAGCCATGGATGGGAAGGAACCAGTAAGAATATGACACGTCCTGTAACTTAGGTTTTATTGCTCTAATTACAAAGTACATCTGAAAATATTGTATGTCTGTACTGTATTTGAAAATATTAAAGTACAAATTAGAGGATTAGACAGTGTTAATATTTTCCTAGTATTATCTCAGTGGCACATAGTGGCAACTTTCTAATTTGTTTCTCAGGGGGACTTCCAAGACTAAGTTAAAACCCTAAAATTACTTTAAAAGAAATTACTTATAACCGTTACTTTGGCTGCACTGATTGGGTTGTTTTATTCAGTTACTAATTATTGAGTGCTTACTCTTTGCAAACTTGTGCTGGGCTTTATGATCAGCACGATGAACAAGTTTCAGAAGGACTCACCCTGTAGTCTATACCATTGTTTTTAAAAGTTGCATTTGATAAAACTGCTTTGACCTATTAACATTTTCCCCTCTATCCATGTCACTATTTTTCTAACACTTACTTTGATGTTGGCATGATAATTTACTTAAAATTATTAGGAAAGCTTATGTAAAAAAGGGGAATAAATCATTGATCATGGTTTTCTTCAGGAAGAACCTGCATTAGATGGTTAGAAAGATGGGCACACAGAGCACATAGGAAGCTCCATCTCTATACTGTTCCTTGACAACTATCCTTTAGATGGCAAAGAACCTATGAGCAAAGTTGTGCAAAGTGCCTGTGCAACAGCACAGCTGCACAAAGTGTGGTCCCAGACTTGAGGCCATCCCTCAAACTATTCCCAGTCCACAATAAAACGAGCACAGAAACCATGATTAAACATTGGAAAATTTTATAGGAATTTGAAGAAGTCATTTCACATTTGTTGAATTTAGTAATAAAAAGTTTGGGTGCAATGTCTTTTCTCTGTTGTGTTATATCTTCATTGTATTATAATTCACAAAAATAATCGATGAGATTAAAAATTGAAACCAAAACAATTTAGCTGTTCCCCAACTCATAGTTAAGAGGCAAGCCCTGACCTGGAGCAAATTGAGAAGACACTGCCATAGTCCAACAAGTGCCACTTAGGGTTCTGCCCGTGGAGCACAAACACGAAGCAGATAATTTGAGGAAGGAGCAATCAGGTGAAATCCATCCTGGTAATTCCTGAAGAAGGAGTATTTGTCATGTTGGGGAATAGAATGAGAAGCCTCAGCCAGATGTAAAGGGGAGAATTTTACATAGGGCAGGGCAGAGAGGGATGAAAGAGAGGGAGTCAGTACTGGGTGTCAGGGTGGGGAGCTGGCACTCTGGACCCGAAGTTGTGGGACCTTGAAATCAGAACCACTCCCATTGTGTATGCTGGTATCACTGCCACTCTGGTAATCTGGGCTGGGTCATTAACTACAGGTAACTGACTTCTCTTGTTTTTTAGATTTACACCCTGCCTGCCATTATTAGCAAGAAAGAAGAAAGTAAGTCATTTTAATAATTATTAGAAGTTTCATCATATAATTATTGTTACCATAAAGGTAAAAATGTAATATTAAGAAGGTAACCCTTAGAAAATGATAGTAACATACCGCTGATTTGTTCGTGCAGCAAATTTGCAATTTTATTCAAAGAAGTTTCTCATGTAAAAACCACTAACTGTTGGTGTTACAGTGACCAAAATTAATTTTTATTCCTTTGGTGTTTGCTTGAAGGTGCATACCTTGCTTTATCCCAGAAAAAGATTAAAGACAGTAGACAGTTGATTTTTAGTTGTGTGTAGTGTTCTGTTTAGTTTTACTTTGTTTTAATGGCAGCAGAAGGCTCTTTATCTTATTTTCCCTGCTCCAATTTACCAGACTGAAGACGTGAACACTTTATGCTGGGTGTAGGAGATTGTGCCCCAGAATGTGAAGTATAAGGACATTGTTGTAACATACAGGTTCTGTAAGAAAATAGTATTGTCACTATGTAATGACTGAATCCTACATGTTGAGAACAAACACCAAGTATCAAAACATTCTTAATAAACACATTTTGTTTCCTATTACATTTCTAATCCTCTTTAATCATCTACCACCTTCTTGCTACCCTTTACCCTTGGTTATTTAGGATATTTTCATATGTATTTTACATAGATTATTTGACATTTAAAATTTATTTGTATATTTGTTTCTAAGGTTATATGTATAGCTTTTAAAACAATTTCAAGTTTTATTTAACTCAATTGACTTTCTCATGACATCTGAATTTTTATTTTTAAAACAGACTTAACACTTTTAAACTGCTATTAAAATACAAGTTAGAATGAAGTGAAGATAAAAAACTGAAAAGTGCTTATTTCACAGTCATAAATATTTACTGTATGAGAAAGCCTATCATTTTAACTGAATGAAATGCCTCCTAGGGATTAATCTTAGAAATTATCAAAAGAAAATGCATGATTTAAAATATCTTTAATGTTAGAGGTTTAAACAAATTATTTCCAGTTTTTATTCTTACATTTCTTTGTTGCTAATCAAGGAAAGCACTTAGAAAATCTTTCATTGCCTACTTTTATCTAATCACAGAAACATGAACCAAGGTGTAAGAGTTTTGTAAGTACTGAGTGTTCCTAAACAATTACCTAAAAAGCAATCTGTTGTATAATTTGCATTTGAGTAGAGTTTGAAATGTGTTCTCACACACTGGTTTCATTGTTCAGATCCAGTATAAAGATAATCCTCTCAAATTCAAATGAACTTCTTGAGGATGAATACTTGGAAAACAACTGAACCTATATATGGTATTGAATAAGGCTTTTGAATGGGGACATGGTCTAGTCAATCAGAATATATTTACTAATTAAGGCACCTCTGGAACTAAGAAAGTTATCAAATGTACTTAAGCTCTGATGGTGGAGGCACCGAATGTGCTGTTTCATGCAGTAAATACTTGCTTTTTTGGAAATCAGCTGCCCTGTTGTCTTAGCCACCTGAAACAGAACTGTGCCACCATTTGTAATTATAAAATGGTGTGTTTTTAGAAAAATTACTGATCCAGAAGTGCATGTGTTTGTATCATTTCTCACATTCGTGCCTTTGGTATGATGTACTAGTTTCCTGCCAGCTTCTCTGAGCAGCTGTGATAGAACCCCCCTCCGCGGTCCTCAGCACTCAGCTCAGGCCTGCGGTCTGTGAGGTGTGCGCTCAGCACGGGTGTGCACTTACTGTTTACTCTCAGTACCAGGAGGCTTTCATTGCCCAAGGGGACAATTTGATAATAGAAGGAAATATTACAATTACTTCTGCTTTTATTAATATGTAGTGCTTTAAGTTATAAATCTTACCTTTTAAGTTTTATTTTTATTACTTTACCTCAAGCTGTATTTTTCCTTTAAACCTATTTTTAATCCACATAAATAGCTTATACTTATCAATGTACCCTCAATTTTAGAAGTCACTTTCACTTTATTTTTTCATAAATTCCCCCATTTGTACATTTAGTCAATCAAGCTTCTTTAGACATATCAAGTTATAATTACAAAACTAGTGAATTTCATTCTCCCCAATGTAACCCCTAATAAGACAAATTTGTGATTCTGGCTAAACATCTGGCAATTTCTGTAATCTAGTTAATAGGCTTATAAATGCAGAGATTAATATCCCTTTATGTATTCTAAACATTTTTTAAAAATTAAAAAATGCATAGTGATTTCAGAATTACATGAGCATATTACTTGGGCATAAAGTGAACATCCAAAATTATACTTGCTTTTGGTTGTTTTTACACATTCTCATAGATTCAGATTTGCTTACCCCAGCTGAATCACTCCTTTGTTGGAAAGTCAAAACTATAGCATGTGCTACCAATGAAAGAAGCTGATCAATGGAGAGAGGATTGAATGCACCTTCCGGAACTAAGCTCCCTGCACCTTTGAGGTGGACTTTGTGGCATTGCCAACTTGTGTGAAAAAGCCTTTCTAAAAACCCTTAACTCAGTGTTGCAATAAAGATCCTTTCCATGAAATGACTTGACTCTCAGACTGGTCAAGGGGCTTTCCAGGTCTTCAGAATTTAGATTGTTTTGCATGTAATTTTGAATATTTTACTATGCCAAGACCGAAAATTTATTAATGGAATTTTGAATCTTTTGTCAAGACTAATTTTACCCCTTTTCTCTTTTCTCATGCGTCTTACCAACCACTAATTTTTTAGTGATTTAGTGACTCATGGGATATCTATGAACAGTGTTCCAGATTCAAGCACGTGGTCCTATTAACTCAAGAGCAGTACCCTGTTTTCTTCCCAGCAATATGTCCGAAATTTGGTTTCAGTTCAAAATTATATTCCAGTGGTGAAGTTCTCAGACCTCTTAAGTCTTGAATAAATTATGCGAGCTCATTAAGTTATGATATTAGAGCAGCTTGTATCTTTCTTTATGTTTGCCTCTTCCACCATTTTTCCACATATCATCCTGTTCTTTGCAATCTCCTTGTCCCTTTTATGACATTTAACTCACCTCAAAAGTGTTGGGTCAATTTCAGTCTGTAATTTCACTCACAACTGGTATTTGAAACAGTACTAGCTTCGATTCATGTGCCACCTTGAAAGGTGCTTCTTTATAACCTTGGACATTCAGATGGATTCTGTTTATCTTAAAATACTTTTGTTATCCTTTGGAAACTCAGTGTTGCATGAAATGTGTTTATGTTTTTGAAGATAATAAGCTTAGGATGGTAAAAGATTATTTTGAATGCCAACCATTAAAAATAGTCCTAATGTCTATGATTTCACTGAGAACCCTAAAAGTAACATGAAAGAACTGTCTAGTGTTCTAAAATAGGACAGCGTGAAGGTATGGAGAACATAGGCCTTGACAGAAAGAATGAGACCACGCTGTGACTGTGGAGTCACGAGGCGTTCTTAGCAAGCCAAACGTGGAAGAGGCTCCCTAATTTGAGGTTCCTACTCTTAATTTACCATTTTAGTGTACAGGTGCCTTAAATGAAACTAGCCTAATTCAAAGAGAAGGAAAGTTTGACACATCTTAATGAAAAAAACATCAAGTAAAAGAACTGGAGCATTCATCAGTCATAGGATATTTAATCCCAAATACTTTTCTGGTTGTAAAATATGCCAAGTATACTTGAAATTATAAGACTTTGAGAATAGAAATGTCTGTCAGCCATACTGAACAGATGTTATTCCTTTGAGATTTCAAATAAACTCAAGCTGTGCCATTGAGATTATTATGATGCGACTGGGGACTGAAAATAGCTTATAGTAGATTTTCATAATTGTGCCATATGAACCCATTGTTCAAGGAAAGAAATTTTCTTTCTTGACACACCTTTTCTGTCCCAGGACTTGTCTCTTAGGACTGGTTCTTAAAGGGCAGAGGCACTGTCATTTTTCCTAGGCTTGCTTTCTCTGACATTCTCTGTTGGTACCATGACTTTTGTCCCCATTCAGACTCCAAATTTTGTGTGATGGCTTCTAAGTTGGTTCTTCTACCCAAGATCTGGTGAAGGAAAAGGTACTTCGTTCTCATTCTTTCATGCAATTCCATTCAACAGTACTCTATGTATACCTACTTTATTCCAGATATTGTGAATAGGGAAAAGGAAGTCCTTTCCAGTGATGTTTCTGCTAATAAAAATCACTGTTTGGCTATGTAATGACAGAGTCACCTAACATTCAGTCCTCATGTACAGAATCAAAGGAATTGAACCAGAAGATACTCTCAAAATTTCCCAGCAACCCTCAGTAAATATCTGCCACTGTGTTCATGAGTGCCTAGGGAATGTATTTCCCCCAGCAATAAACAGAAAAATTAAGCTCATTTTTCTCATCCTAGGCAGTTTCTGTCTCTCACACATGTTTTTGAGCTTCTTGCTGCTATTTAGATAGCTTAGTTCTGCAAGTTCTTAGATATCCTTAGGTCACCTTCTCTCCCTCCACCACATCCTCCCCTAAGCTTCTGAGCAAACAGATCTTTGTTTTCATCCCTGAGGCCCAGTAAGAGGGTCGTTGCTGTTCGTGGGCGGGGTGGAAAGGAGTGCTTTGGGCCAGAGCTGCCTCAGAGTTAACGGTTCGCCCATTAGGGAGAGCACAAAGGTCCTGTGGGTGTCATAAACGGCAGTAAAGGCACTCATCTCTTTTTTTCTGTTTCTTTCAAGCGTATGTGGAATGACATTAGTTGTCTGTGATAAGGGGCCTTTGAATCTGAAATGGCAGATTAGGAAAGTGAATTAGCAATTAAAGACAAGTGGCTTTGTTTTGTCAACCCTGCAGATGTACTGTAAGGCCAAGCAGATCAGATCTGGAAGGACATGCTGGGTTTTCAATTACTAGCAAATTGAAGGTACAAGGACTTTTGATTTGTCAGCTGTGTAAAAGACCATTCTTTCCCTTTTCCTCATGGCTGTTTGAATTCTGCCGAGATTCCTGCTTTTGTGCTGCCTAACTGCCTTATGGAAACTTTATTTAGGTTTCAATAAGAGCTTTAGCCCTGAGTAGGTTCTGGAGGAAAAAAAAAATGTTTACACTTAACTTTTGATTGGATAAATTAAGTTCTTTAAATTAGCCTGTGTTTTGCTTCTCCCAAAAGTCAGGTACAGTTGATATTACAGGATTTCAATTCCTGGGAGTTTGATGGTAGTTGTATTCTGTGTATCCCTCTGGTCCTTTGTATCAGGACATTCAGGGCTGGAGTGGGGAACTTGGGGAGGAGTTGATACAGGAGGTCTTCTTAGCTGATAACTTCTAAGTCTTGTAGAAGCCAACAGAAAGGGTACTTAACCAAGGCAAGTGCAAACCAGTAATTAGCAAGCCATCTGGCCCTCAGCACTCAAGGGCTGCCTGCTCTCGCTGGGCAGTGAGCCCTTCCTCCTGATGATTCACGTTTCTACTGTGTGGGGCGGCTATGCCACGTGCTCCACTGTATTAGCAGGAATACCTTGGCCCCCGCTAAAGGAGAATTATAGAAACTATCAACCTTTAATGACGTTATTTATTAAGAACCCCTTCCCACTGAGGTTTTATTTGAACACTAAGGAGTTCCCAGTGTTTTTCTTTTTCAACTGTAAGGAGCCTATTCCATTGAACTTTCATCAGCACTGACATTAAGGGCAGCACCTGCTTCATGGCTTTGGACGGTGTTCATTGCCTTTCCGGAATGTTGGCCCCAACTCCCTCAGAAACAGCACTCCTCTGACCGCCTTGCACGTCAGTCACTGCAAGGCAGTGTGCCATAGCCTGTTTAAGCCACATCACCCTCTTCTCCTCAGATCTCAGCAGAAACTGCCGGCTGCTTGTATGGAGGCTGTTGAAAAGCAGTTTGCAGTGCAGTAAACACAGGCACATTACTGTTGCCTTTTATACCAGTTGACAAGTCAGCCCCCAAATGGGTATATCCTAATTAAGCAAAGAAAAGCTAATTGTGTGAGATTGGCTTTATGTCATTTAGTCCATTTTACCATTAGCAAGCCACTTAAGTTGTATATAGAACTGACCAGTTTATGCTGTGGTAACTGGTGATCCTTAAATCTCAGAGACTTGCCATGATAAACATTCACTTCTTGATCATGCTTTCTGTCCATTCAGAATAGCTGTGACGCTGTCACACACAGTTTTCATTCTGCAGCCTAAGTTTAGGGGTTAGCCTCTCTATCACTTCTGATCTTGTGCCAAAGAGAAAAAGAAATGTAATCTACATACCAGCTCTAGTGTCTGCTGGATAATGAAATTTGTTACCTCCATCCATGTTTCACTGTCCAGTGCATATCACAAGACCAAGCTTTTCTTTGCAAGAGCTACAAAACATAATCTTCCTGCAGGAATGGGCAACAAATGTGGGCAAACAGTAATCCCAGACTACTACAGTCTGCTCAGTTCCAGAGTGAACACAGGGAAACAGGTGAACAGAGAGGTGAGGAATCAATAGAAGTGCATAGAGATGTAAGGAAGCAATTATTAATTTTGAGAGGATGTGTTTGTTCATTGTGATTTGCTGCAATATAATGAGTATCAGGTACATTTCTTAATATCCATCTTGTTATCTTTCCAGTAGCCAGCTAGATTCACAGGTATATGCTTATTCTACATTTGTTTAAAGAAATAGATCATTGCTCTGGCCCCAGATATTTTAAAAATAAGTAATACAGTATACCTCTTTGAAGAATAATACTCCTGGCAGACAGTTTCTCAAGCCCCAGTGACTTCAGCTATGCCCAAAGTAATTGCCTTCTTCAGATAATTTACTTATATATTTACATTCTCCTCTAGCCAGTAATGATGGTGATAATAGTCAACACTTCCTGTAGCACTGACTATATTCCAAGCACTATTCTAGAAGCTTTGCAGATGTTAACACATTCCATCTGTAAATGGTCCCATGAAGAAGATAAAACTATAAAACTATTACCCTATTGTATAGAAGGGAAAACTGAGGCACAGAGAGTTTTTTTTTTTTTTACAACAATGCCCAGTAACTGGCAGGAGGTGCGAGATTAACCACTGCCTTCTCCATCTGGTTGGAATGAATGGCTGATTTCCGTTACCCTTCTTTCTTTCTTTGACTTCGTGTAGCAGTGATGTGTGTACAGAAGCAGGTGGAGAAAGAAACTAGCATTTTATGAGGTCTGTCTCACTGTTTGGTGCTCCTCAAGTGCTTCCTGTGGTTTAGTCTTCATCTTACCATGACTCTTTAACATATGTATTATTATTTCCCTTATATTAAATATAAGAGAAATAGAGTTCAAAAACATAAATAGGCACATTCCCATTTATACAGGAGTAAGTACTAGTGCTGAGATCCAACGCCAGGTTTGCCGGGCTTTAAACAGACCTGCACCTAGAGCCTCCCTAAATTCTTTCAGGCAATAGCAAAGGATGTTCAAAGGAAACAAAACAAAAGTGCATGGTTATTTTTGCCAACACTGTTCTTCCACATCTTGGAATTGATAGTGTTTCATCACTCACGTGAAGAGAGCTAAAGCATGAGATCCTTGGGACACGTCAGACAGTGGCATCCGCGGGGTGACCCAGCAGTCAGACGGAACATCTGTAAGATCTTATTCTTCGCAGTGAGCCTGTGGTATTGGTTTATTAGCATAGACTAGAGTATTGGTGCCAAATATCCAGGATACTTTCGATATTTAGTCTTGTCATTCCTTATTTTTCTCAAAATAGATGCTAAAGTAAGGTCTGTTTTTATATATCACACTTCCATCTGTTTTGCCGAGGGCAAGTTTTATTGAAATTTTTAAAAGATGGTTTTCTCTTTTAATCTTTTTTTACTGAAAAGTTGAGCAATGTGACTTTAAGAACCAGATATTATAAATGTCAGAAATATTAATTGAAACAAAAATGCTTGTGTATCGTTTTTACCTGGGGTTACATTTTTTGGCTCAGGTTTTGCTGTATTCATAAAAATGAAAATAATTGATTCCTCACCTCTCTATTCATTTATATCATTTCCTTACTTCTCCATTCACCTGTTTCCCTGTGTTTAATAAATATTTTAAAGTATCTGAATGTATAATGTTATGCCTGGCATTTTGGGTTTTTGGAAGCAAGCGATCCTTAGTGTCCAGAAGGAGCTCCACTCCAAGTTAGTTAGTCAACTCTAAGTAGGTATTATTCAGTGGCTGTTCAGTTCTTGTATACTGAATTCATCCAAATGATTCACTGAGTTGTGTTCACTTAGCATCGAGCTCTGGAGACACAGGAATAAATGAGCCAACATATATTTTAGTTTTAGCATTTTAATATTTTTAAGTCAAAATTTTTTTAAATTTCTAAATAAATAAATTTACTTTTTAAAAAAATATCAGACAGTTCCAAAGTCTGCTGAATAAAAATGACAGTTCTACCTTTTGTCCTCTTCTTTCAGTGTACATGGATCTTTCTAGAGTATTTTTTCCTAGGAATATAGAAACATGCATATTCTCAGATATTTACATATGAAGAAATTGGGTCTTGTTGGTCCTGTAAGATTGCTTTTTTTCAACCTCACAACACATAGTGAATATCTATGTCAGTACCTCTGGTCATGGATTTCTGAAGCCTAAAAGGGTTCAGTGTTTTCTGTGTCTAAGTTTTCTTCAAATTTTTTTTTAATCAGTTGCTGACACCCCTTCTTCATTTTTTAGCACAATTTGTTGATTTTTTTTTCCTGTGGACCTATATGGAAGTACCTGAATGTTTTTAATGTACCACCTTTAAAAAGAAGCAAGTTTCAGTTTTTTATTGGTTAGAATTGTTTCATATACTATTATTTCAGAATATGAAGAAATAGATCTCTATCACATGTAATGAAAATTTTCTTAATGCCAAAAATCCAATTTTTTTTTCTCTGGGTGTTACTTGGTGTTAGATTAAACTCTTTCTCTTTAAATAAGTCATCTAATTTGACCTGGCCACCAAACCTTAAGAAAATTAGAACAGATTTAAAGAAAATCTAGCAAAAAGCAATTAAAATAAATTACTATTTTATAATGTAAGATCTTTGGGGGGGATTTATGGTGGACTAAGCATATTTTGAATTACTTTGAATATGATACAAAATGCAATAGAAATAATATTGGGCTTGGAATCAGAAGACCCGGATTAGAATCCTGGCTCTAGAACAAAGAAAACGAAATTTTCAGTAACCCAGTGAATCATATTAAGATTACAAAGCCTTCTCTCTACCTCATAATGTCGTTTTGAGAATCCCATGAGGAAGAATATGTGAAGGGCTTTGTAATACAGTTATTAATAAAGCGATGTTTATTCTTAATGTGTTTGTATCATCTGGAAAAATATGTAGAAAGTGATGTTTATTTCAGGAAAATAGATGGGATTAGTGTAACAGATTTACTCTCTATAAAGGATTTGTGTTTTCTAAGGGAGAAAGTTCATGTGCTAACTTTGGTGAATGTGACCCTCTCTATTCCACTTCTACCACAAGATAAAAATTGAAACTCTAACCAAAACTGTGCCATTAGTCTTGAAACATCTGAGGCAACTAAGGGGGAATGTAAATTCAGCATAAACCCTTTACATGATTTTTTTTTTTTTATCTTCAGTGTACTTAAATGAAGCAGGATTCAATTTTGTGAGAAAATGCATTCAAGCTGTGGAAACAAGAGGTAAGCATTGCCTGCCAAGTATTGGAACTATTGTGTGGTCTCTTACATAGAGACTGCTCAGTAAATGAGGATGTATTTAGTCATTAACATGAGATTCATTTTAAGAATTATATAAATGTATAAATTATATAAATACATGAATAACTGTAGTTTGAATTTCAATTTACCAAAAATAACACTAGGAAAATCTTTTTAATAACTTTTTCTAATTTAGCCGTTTACTTCTTATTGATAGACTGTATTATTTAATATTGTCAGCACCTCTTTAATTTTTCTCAGGCTTTAGGGGGTAAGACTGCCTCGAAGCTTGTCCTGAGATCCTCCTTCCCTATGCTATTTTCCTCCCCAATTTCAGTCACTATCACAATCTCAGCTCCTTTCCTCAATCTCGTCTTGACCTCTCTCTTGAAACCCACTCCAGCTGCCTGTTAGACTCACTTCCAAGAAAACTAGTGTGAAGCAAAACTCATCTTAGGCTTTAGATTTCTACCAGCTTAGATTTAAATTTCGGTACTGCCACTTAGAAGTTTTAAGAAGTTAGGTATGTTCCTTAAATTCTCCGAATCCGTTTCTTCACCTTTAAAATGAAGATCATAAACACCACCGAACTGTTCAATGTGCAGGACTCCATGACCAAAGAAACAGATGAGAAATACACAAATCTCCCTTAGAAAACACAAATCTTCCCATCTTTGATGCTTTTTTTAATATTCAGATAGTGGTGAATAGGCAGGTATACTTTGCTACTTTGAAGATCTTCAGAGACTTCCAAATCACTGTTCCATGTCTGATCCGAGAAACAGATGTCTCATCGGGGTTGCCAGGGTAGGTTTGCTAAAGTTAGACTGCAAAATTGGAAAAATAGCTTTCAGATTCTCTGTGGGCATATGTCTGAGTTTTTAACATTCCGTACTTGGGAAGCTGTGTCTCAAACTTTGTGATTTTTGTGACTTTTTTCCCTATTAGGTATCACCATTTTAGGCCTCTACCGAATAGGAGGAGTGAACTCCAAAGTTCAGAAACTCATGAACACCACATTTTGTAAGTTTTGGATGAAGCTGGTTACTTAGTTTTTGTGTTCTTATAGATAATCCAAACCAAAGGTTTCTTTGAGATATGGACTTGAGACAAAGACAAGATACTTCTCGTCTTTGTGTATTTTCAAGTGATATTAAAATTAATATTTGTAATAAGTTTTTAATGTCCTGTTATAAAAGATGAATAATCAGAATTTGCGAGGGGGCCTTTTTATAACATTGGATTTTTCCTCAAGTGCCCTTTTTTTAACATGTAATTACAAATACAATTAATTGAAATCTCCTGGAAAGTACCAGTTACAGTTAAATTTTAATGTGACTGAAACTTTTGAACACCATACATACCAAAGAGTAGACAAAACAACTATAATTATAATGTTCACTAAACTTATCTCTATTATTCAAAATTATCAATTTTGTTTATAAATAACTTAAAATATTTCTCTGTAAACTTCTCTTGAAATATAGTTAGTATCTTGGTTTCAGGTATACAACATAGTGATTTAACAATTATATACTTTGCTAAATGATCGCCATGATAAGTGTAGTTACCATCTGTCAATACAAAAGATATCCCAATGTGCCATTTGATTAATTAGAGGTACAATGATATTTATGGATGCTGGATTTAGGTTGCCTGGTTTGAAATCCTAACTTGGAATCCTTGAAAGGTTTGTGACTTTGGGTGATTTGCTTAACCTCTTTGTGTCTCTGCTGCCTCATTTATAAAATGGGAATCTAAGGACTGTCAGGATTGGATATGGTAAACTATAGAAAGTACTTAGAAGCATGTCTGGCATATGGTAAGCTCTCTGTGATGTTGCTAACAGTTAGCGGTAATTGGATTGGGGACAGTATTATCCTACGAGAAATCGTTGAGGTTTATAAAGCCTCAGAATGAGCTTTGTACCAGCTCATAGGAACAACAGTCCTAAAGGTACCTCTGTTGGTATCCTAAGAAATAAATGCTTCTCTCTTTGATTTACCAGTATGTCTATCTATTTTCTGAATGGTGTGAATGATACTTTGAATTGTGTAGTTGAAACATCTTTTTATTCTTTTCAGCTCCAAAATCCCCTCCTGATATTGACATTGACATTGAACTGTGGGATAATAAGACAATAACAAGTGGGCTGAAAAACTACCTCAGGTGAGGAGGGTTTAACTCCTGCTGCTCTGCTGTGAAGTCTCACTCACCTCCTCGGGCTGCCCCGTGGGATCCTCGGAGCCCGTGTGTAAGAGCTTTCCTCTGAGCGCAAGTTCCTCCCCTTAATGTGAAATAGCACAAGGTGGTAATGTTTACGGCTAGTGTCTTGGGACTTGTACTTGGTTTTTCATATAATAAACTATATTATTTGAGGCTATAAAATATATAAATACTAAATAATGTTTGATGTTTCATATTAAATTTGTACAGTTTCCATATTTTTTTAAGTAAGTTGAAATTGAAAGTATTTTTCAACTATTGCACCCATATCTGAGGGAGTTCTCACCAAATGAAAAATCACCTCCCAGCCTCCCATTCTAACACAACTGGCAAGAAGAACTAAGGGGAATTGTGTCTTTGAGGTCTGCATTTTAGGATTGCTTAGAGCCACCCTTCTAGGACTTTATCAAACTCCCTAATCACCCAGTTCTTAAGGAAGCCCTGAAAGTTCACAGGAAATAATTCTGAAGTGTGCTGCTTTCTCTGCTGCAGGTGCCTGACAGAGCCACTGATGACTTACAAGTTACACAAAGATTTTATTGTTGCTGTTAGTAAGTACACTTCCATTGCAAGCATTATAACTGATGTAGCTTTATGCTGTATTACTTGGAGGGATAAGTTTAAACCAGCTGGTTAAGATTTTCCTACTTGCTTAAGAAATTATCAGTCTGATACTTAATAGCTTATAGTATGATTTGCAAAATGAACTAAAACATTTTGTCACTTAATAAAACCTCATTGGGGCAACTGTCTGGTGTTACTAGAATCAGCTGTGAGGAATTATTTTAATTACAGTATACTTGATGAGTATCAGTTTCTTACAAGAGCACCTGTGGTTAAATAGACAAGAATACAAACATATATAGTCAGTTATACCATTTATACATACTCACACGCTAGATTCCTAAATCTGGAGAGAAGAGTCAACTCTTTTTAGCAGAACTGGCACTTCCGTCAAGCCCCTTTCTCCCATATATTTACTGGGAATGATCACATATCTGTGTTATTTCTTAGATCTGTGATTGCCATATGTGATATGAGTAGATAGGTTTAATTTAGGAATTGTGGGGAGGCAGAAGGAGTCAGTGAAAAACATGTAACCTGAGAAGTCAGAAATGCATAGTGTTAAAACATTTAGATCAAAGTGCCAGGTTGCCCTCTGAGCCCATTACAACTGTAATAATTAGGAATTGGCATTTCATTGTTAAGATGTATAAGGTGTGACTGTAACAAGCTTTTTCATAATCCAAGAAAGAAATCAGTTGCATTAATTTACTACCACACATTGTAATGTCACAGGAAATGTTGTCTGCTGATAAAAGTGTCAGATAGTGCTGAGTGATTTTGGTTTTCAGTCCAGCATACACACTGACCACATGATCTCACAAACACACTACTTAGCTTTCTTCTGAAAGCTCTCCACTTTGCATTCTCTTTATTGAAAACATCTTTGTTAGATAAACAAGACCTTAGAAAATAAATAAGCCAACTTCTCATTTTATCAACTAAGCCCCAGAGTGAGCAATTGACTTTGTCCAAGGACACTAGTAAATTTAATTCAAAACCAGGGCTACAAGCCAGTGTTTTGAACTCTTAACCTGAAATGTCTACTTATAGAAATTTTGTTTTATAACAATGGCATTTGAGCCACAACTAAAATGGCTCAATGAGCTGGTTGTTGTAATACAGACATTTGGTTGCATACCTTTTTTCTCCACTTGTGTGGCAAAGAATGAAATTATTTGCTACCATGATAATTAAAATATGCTCTTATGTATAAGTACTTGCCTTTTGTGTAGGTCAAGGATAAACCCACTTACTAAATATTAAGATAATAAAATGAGATGGTATTGATTTCAAGCAACAGAGAAATCCAGCTCAGTTAAAAAGGGAAGGTACTCAGAGATTAGGAGGTGTCTCAGAATTCCCTGGAAGGGCGTGACGCAGGCCTTCACAGGCCTGCACACAGTTGGGAATCGACATTTCTCTCACCACTCTTTACGGAGGGTCTGTCATCTCTGTTCTTTGGTACTTACCTGCTGCTTTCTTGTCTCCCTTTCCAGTCAGATTTTCTTGGGCTTGGAGCACACTCGGTATTGTCCAGGCTTGGTTTTGTATGCTCTCCCCTCTCGTGTCTCCAGCAGATCGGGTTCTGGTGGCTCCATCCCGGCTCCTGGGACAGACCTCATGTCTGGCCCAGCCCGAGCCAGCTTCCTTCCTCACCTTGTCCAAACAGCTGCGCCCGGAAGAGAAGGTGGACCCATAATATAACATCTAGGTGTTAGGCACTTTCTGGAGAAAGGGCTTGGCTGGGCGAGCAGTTCCCCCCAGGATTTGCTTGTTGTCGTGAGAGGATGTTAAATAGACTTCTTGTTCTGAAGGTTAAGACGTTTCTCCAGTGGACAGGGCAGCACCTTGATGTTTGCCTCGCAGGCTAGAATTGCTTTAGGTGATTTTTTATGCTTTTCAGATTTACCATTATCAGCATGGGCTTAAAATCTACTAGGCCCTTTGTCTTTGAATCTATAAAATTTGTAAAGGAATGCCTGCCTCCTCTGACCAGGCGGAGTCACTAGGATGTGTCAGTGTGATAAAGCACATTATAGCGCCTGGCTCAGCAGGCAGTCTATAACTGTTGCTGTGGTCACATTGCTGAAGGTCTGATCCTGTCCTTGTGTAGCAAAACCAAAGCAGGTTATGAGTTACAGTGGTTGTGGACATATATAGTTCAGTGGCTGGGAGCAAGTTCTGGGGTCAGATAGAATTACATTTGTTTGCCGTCTTTACTTGTTAACTTCATGACTATGGACAAGTTATTCCACCTCTCTGAGCCTTAGGGAATGCCCCTAATAATACTACATGAAGCAGTGCTTATTAGGTATGAGAGGTGGGAGTGGTTATGGTGTTTAGATTACTAATGTTGCCATACACAGTTGAATGCAATGAAAACTTAAGCATTTGCAACCTTATGTTACAGAATCTGATGACCAAAACTACCGGGTGGAGGCTGTGCATGCATTGGTGCACAAGTTGCCAGAGAAGAACAGGGAGATGCTGGACATCTTAATAAAGCACCTGGTCAAGTAATTCTCTAACTTACGTCGTTCACCTAACTACTTGTTCAACTGTTAAGCTTGTTCATGTCTTTCTAAAGTATATGATGGTGGTGTAACATTGCTGTTGTAACCCGAATCCATTGAATGTGCTTAGAAAGTGATGTGGCAGTTAATTTTTAAGAGATATCTATGTGTGCATCTGTATATGTTTACAATATGCCAATAATTCTGTATTTATAAGTGTTAAACTAAAAATGATGAAAAACGTGCATGTCAGCTTACAAATATATGAAGAAATATACTGTCCCCACCCTCCAACCCCCACCCAGTTCTTTTAGATACACTGTAAGCTCTAAGTTTAAAGACCAGTTCTCTGTACTATTAGGGTCAGTGAGGTTCTGCCAGGTCAAACTGTCAACAGTAGCTTCCTTCTCTAGATTCATAATACTTCTCAATAGCTGAAGGTTTTTCTGACTCTTATTCGTTCATCTATGTATTTAAACATCTTAATAGGTGAATAGATAGACATTGTATTAGTCAAGTTTCTCCAGAGAAACAGAACCAATAAGATGTGTGTGTGTGTGTGTGTGTGTGTGTGTGTGTGTATACATATACACATAGACGTGTGTGAGCATGTGAGAGAGGAAGAGACTGATTGATGGCAGGGATTGGCCTGCACGGTTGTGAGTCTGAAATCTGCAGAGCAAGCTGGGAGGCTGAAGACTCCGGGAAGAGCTGAGGTCACATCTTGAACCCGCAGCAGTCTGGAGGCAGATTTCCTGTTCCTCAGGGGAGCTCAGTCTTTTTCTCTAAAGACCATGCACTGGTTGGACAAGGCTTGCCCACATCATGGAGGGTGATCTGCTTTACTCAAAGTTTACTGACTTAAATGTTAATCTCATCTAAAAAATACCTTCACAGAAGCATCTAAAATTATCAAATACCAGTATGAAGTAATCGTCACAGATCTGTCTGACCGACACACACACACACACACACTCTCTCTCTCTCTCTCTCTCTCTCTCCTTTTTCTCCTCTCTCTCTCTCTCTCT